AGCTCTATCATATCTGATTTAGTTGAAATTATGGCAAGGCCCGGATTACAAGTATGCTTTGTTTTGTTTCTCAGAAGATGTCATTCTCTTTTTTTCATTGAGAAAAATATAAAAAATTTACACGTGACCAAACACTTTTTAACAATAAAAGTTTGAAAATATACGATTTAAAAAAAAGAGTTCACGTGGAAAAAAGGAAGCTGCCAGGCCTTGACCTAAACTTTTCCAGGTCGTGACCTACTTTTTTCTAGGTCATGGCCTAGATTTTTTAGATCATGACTTAGATTTTTCCAGGTCATGGCTCCAATTTTTCTAGGTCATGGCCTAGATTTTTCCTGGTCGTGACCTACTTTTTTCTAGGTCGTGACCTAGATTTTTTTCTAGTTCATGACTTAAATTTTTCTAGGTCATACATTTTTCTAGGTCATGACCGAAATTTTTCTTGGTCATGACCTAGATTTTCAAAGGTCATGGCGTTACTTTGAAAAAAAGTTGAAAAATGAATTGTTCACTATTTTTTTAAAAATGTTCTTGAAAATACCATGAATGCTTTGAACTCAATTATCTTGGTTCCTGTGAAAGATATAAAAAATCTGTCAACTGATAAAATATTTGGCATATTGTCAGCAACATTTTCATAGTTGGCATATTTTTCATATCTTCGATAGAAAATAAGATAGATGAGCTTAAAATTCAAGAATAGGGTGGCACGGGTTCAAAGATTGAGCATGTGGCCTGTTTGTCAAAGATTTGAGCTCATTAAATTATCAATCCATTTTTTGAGTAAAAAAAACTCACCGAATTATTTTTCACCACAATAATGGGAGAAATCATTGTCGTTGGTACCTTCCCAGGTTGTATTGATAACGGAACATTATCATTTTTCATATCAAAATATCTCATTTTATTATTCCAGAAAAATCCCGACGAGGAGTAGATGAGATTTCCGAAACGGAAAATTTTTAAAAATTAAGATCTTATTTTCTCCTTACAACTCACTCATCTCCCAGCGACAATGTCACACTGACAGTCATATTATTCTCATCGATCACGAAAACTTCCGTGGACCCATTCTCCTTGAAATTTACATGAATCTCTTTTGTCTCCACACTTGTTCGTTTTGAAGTTTTCGACAACTCTTCTGCATATTTCTTACTGCTTTTTACAAACATCGGGTCACCGATTTTATGGGTTAATCCTTGACTAGACTTCACGAACTCGTTTACTTTGGACAAGTTGGACATGTCTAAAAATTTCAAAATTCAGGAATTTTCCTCATTTTGAAGATACTCACTCTTTGTCGTTAAATAAGTATTCGCTAGTACCGCAAACGAAGACGGTGGTCCTGGTCCACAAACTTTGGTGTCAGCATCTATATCCGTGCATAGAGCAGAAGCCATATCACTTTCATAATCTTCCAAATCAGAATCCGCCAAATAACCTCCAATTTCTTTTACAAGTTTCTGTGCCATTTCTCCTTTATAAAACGAATCTAATGGATTTTCGTAGTCCGAGATTTCAGTCAGTATAGAAGATAATCCATTGCAGAATAGCTTGTTATTCCGCATATTTGCTTTGAAAAAGGAGGCTAGAGCAGGTGCATTGGATCTGTTTTTGAAGTCCTCATTGATATCGAATCCTTTATTGCATTGTTGAATAGTGGGGGTGACCAAGTGTTTCCATTGGATTCGATTGGATGAAAACTTTTGGAATGCACGATACAGGCCATTGAGGACACCCGGGGTTCCTGAAGCTTTTGGACCAACGTGGCTGAGTTCTGGGTTCTTTTTGAGCTCTTCTAGGTTGATATTCATTGGAGCACTTTCTCTGAGAAAAAACTAATAATCCGTTGGAAGTACAGTACCGGTCCATAAGTTGCCCAAAATTTATTTTTCATAAGTGTTTCTCAGAGCATTTTCAGGAGTCTGGAGCTCGGATGTCAAGTTTCTGATCACTTTGAAAGTTTCGGAGGATGGGAAACAGATTTGGATTGAAAACACGGAAATATTGAAAGTTCCTAATTATTCAGCTATTTGCCGATTTCTCAAAGACACTCGTTTTTGGACTAATCCAATTTTAAAGGCGCATAACTCAAAATCGGCAAAAGCTATGAAATTTATGAAAAAAAACATAAATGTAGAACATAGAGTTTTACTCATTTTTGCAGTTTACACATTTTTAGCAAAATCCGCCGTTTTTGAGATATGCGCCTTTAAAGAAAGCGTATCCTTACTTGCGCTCTTCCTTTGTCGCAGGAACGGGGGCGCCGGGTAGGTCAACTTTAAAGGCGCATAACTCAAAATCGGCAAAAGCTATGAAATTTATGAAAAAAACATAAATGTAGAACATAGAATTTTACTCATTTTCGCAGTTTACACATTTTTAGCAAAATCCGCCGTTTTTGAGATATGCGCCTTTAAAGAGAGCGTATCCTTACTTGCGCTCTTCCTTTGTCGCAGGAACGGGGGCGCCGGGTAGGTCAAATTTAAAGGCGCATAACTCAAAATCGGCAAAAGCTATTGAATTTATGAAAGCAACATAAATGTAGTACGTAAAATTATACACATTTTGCAATTTACACATTTTTCAGTAAAATCTACCGTTTTTGAGATATGCGTCTTTCAAGTTGACCCACCCGGCGCACCCGTACAAAACAAGAGCGCAAAGGAAGGTATGCTCACTTTAAAGGCGCATATCTCAAAAACGGCAGATTTTACTCAAGATGTGTAAATTGCAAAATGTGTAAGATTTTACGTTCTATATTTATGTGTTTTTCATAAATTCAATAGCTTTTGCCGGTTTGGAGATATGCGCCTTTAAAGTTGACTTACAGTTTTAAGGCAAAAACGAGTGTCTCTGAGAAATCGGCAAAAAGCTGAAAAACTAGGAATTTTCAAGAAATTGTGTAAATGCAAAGTTTTCAATCTAAGTCTATTTTTCACCCTCCGAAATTTTCAAAGTGATCGGAAACTTGACAACCGAGCTCCAGACTTCTGAATATCATCAAAATTGACGGAAATTCGCTGAGAAGTACTTTGTTGGATATCTCACTGGCTCGTACTTCATGTAAATGATTATCCTTACCTTGCAATGACCGTTGTCACATTCCCATTCTTCCTTTTCACTGTCATCATCATCCCACCTCCCAAACTTGCTTTATTGGGAAGACCACCCATCAAACAGAAACTGGCTGCAATTGCAGCATCAACTGCATTCCCTCCTCTTACTAAAATTGACTTTCCGATTTCTGAACAAATTTTAGAAGATGTGAACACCGCGGCCCGAAGATTTTCGTCATTTTCAAATACTTCTACACTATTGACATTTTCCAAAATTGTGCTTTGATGGGATTCTGGAAAGTAGTATATTATTTGACTTGATATCCATTTGTAAACTTGCTTGTTGTCGAAGCAGGGGTCATGACTTCCATTGGGAGAACAACTGGAGATAGCGTTGGTTCCAGATCCTCCGAGAAATCAAAGTTGATTGTTGAAGGAGTCTCTGTGGAGGATTTGTAACGCCTTCTGAATGTCAATGGTGAACTGCTGGGAGATAAAGTTTGAAGTTCGAAATTTTGATAAGTCCTTGTGGAATACACAGATGGAGTAGAAGATTCTGATCTGGTGAGGAAGAATGCAAAGAGACCAAGAACTAGTGCAAGGATGACAATGAATTGGATAAGAATTATGATCCAGGGAACGTCGAACAACCTGAAAGCAGAATTTGGACTACTTTTTAATCATCAAAATCATATACCTACATCCCTCTTTTGGTGTCGTCGTCGTCGTTTCGGTTTGGCGGCGGTGGAGGTGATGGTGGATAGATTTCCACATTTCCCAACTGACTTTCCATTCAACGAGGAAATCTGAACACCACACGATGTGACAAAATGAGCAAGGTTGAGAAAAAGAACAAGAAGATGCGGAAAAACATAACAAAACATGGGTGCTTAGCACAGGCGATCTATTTGGTCAACGGATGAACATGAGCAATGGGAGAAAGAGAAGGACGGAAGGTGTGAATTGAAAACAATGAGCAATGAAAAAGAAGCGAAACTTGACATAATTTTCGAAATGTACATATTTTATATCCAAAAAGATAAAGATGAGCTAATGATGAGTATAACTGAAGGGATATTGGGTTGTTTGTCCACACCGACGGTCCAGCGAGAAGTGACGATGATAGCTGTTTAAACAGTAATCGAGTGGGGGTGCGTGAACCTCCGGGAGAGGGGACTCTAATGACCTGTTGAGAGAGGGAATCAAGGGTCTAGAGAAAGTGACCCAATGCATTGTTTCAATTTGTTGCAAGATTTTTCGATAAATAAATTTGGTGAGCTGAGAGGTGGGAGATGAGAAAAATGATAAAAACTTTAAGAACTCAGGCGTCGCCGGCTACTTCTGGCCGGAACTTGGTCAGATTACGACAAAGACATTGTGGGAAGCCCATCAAGATCCGACAAACTATCGGCCAGCTTCCGACCTTTTAACACGCAGCGCCTTCAAATTCCGGCCAAAATCCGACCATTGTCCGTCCCACTGCAGCCAGTGGGCAGCGTCTGACCAAATTCTGACCAAGATCCGTCCTTCCGTCCAGAAGTTGCAAGCCGACAGCCGAGAAGTTTTCTATTTTCCCACTTACCGTAAATGCTCTAGTAGAAGCCCCTGTCCGAATACTTTGAGCTCATTTATCTCGGTTCCTATGACAGATATCAAAATTTTGTCAACTGATAAAATATTGGTTATTTTATGATAAACATTTTATCAGTCGACACATTTTTGATATCTTCCAAAGGAACCGAGATAATAGAGCTCGAATTGCACATAGAGGGTGAGCGTCTGTTAGAGCATTTACGGTAAATGCTGTCTACTGGACAGGACATTAGCAAAACACCGGGCATTTTCCTTTAAAGATGTGTTGAATGAGAAAGTAGTTTTCTCGAAATTTTGTTCATATGTGTGCCTCTCGAGGTGTTGAACTTGTGGGTACATTGCTGGAAATGCTACCAGCTAAGATACGGTGGCTTAGGCTGCCGAACAATCCCAGAAAGCAAACAGTAACTCCAAAAAAAACTTAAAATTTTCATGTCTCCCCATGTTTTACTTAAATTCAACATCTTCCAAATCCGGCATTCCTGGAGACTTCTTGAAGGTTTTCAAAATTCGAAAAAAGTGTTTTGAATTCCCGCCCAAACTGAAAATCTGAGTTTTCCATTCCGATGCTTTTTAGCCTAACACCTTCAGTATTGGTGGGAATTTACATATACTTTGAGAACCTTCTAGAAGGGTCCATGCACAGACCACTGTCGAGATCTTTTCGCTTTCATTTTTCAAGATTTTACAAGTTTTATTGACATGTGCTTTAATAGAAGCCCACCTACACTTTGAGCTCAATTATCTCCGTTCCTTTGAGAGATGGAGAAAAATTGTCAGCTGATAAAATATTGGGGATATTATGATAAATAATTTATCAGTTAACCACTTTTTGATATTTTCTGTAGGAACCGAGAAAATTGAGTTCAAATTTCACATATAGGAAAAGCTTCTATTTGAGCAAATACAGTAAAAATCCTTTTTTATTTTTCCGTTCCCGGTTGTTTTTTCATAAGAGCCCTGACTGATTTATTGAACTTTTCAATCACCAATTTTCACAAATCACAATTTCCAAAGGACACAAAGCACGAAAAAGAGTCATCTCACTCAACATTAGAGAGTGTAGAGTATAAAAGAAAACGAGAGACAGTCTGACCAGTTTTCACTCGCAATGATAATAAAACATGCCTGTTTTGTTTTGTTCCTCTTATTAGTTGGCTACGGAAACTCTTCGAAAATTTTGATACATAATCCAATATTTGGATTCAGTCATGTCAAATTTATCAGTAAACTCGCAGATATTATCGCGGACCATGGTCATAATGTGGTAAGGTTTTTAAATTATCTCGAAATTTCAATTTTAATATATTTTTTTGAAAATTTCAGACCCTCTTCCAACCCTATCATCTCGCTCTGAAAAATTTAGATGGATTAGTGAAAAACCAAAATGTTGAAATCCTCAACTATTATCCCAGCCATTACGATGAACTTCTGAAAAAAGAAACGCAAACTTTTCCTATGTTTTGGGATTCTCATCTCATTGGTAACCCAGTTTTAAGAGCTTTCATGCTTGCTCCAGTGCTAGGAGGAGAGTTCAAAAAAACAGCGATGGGTGAGACTGAAATGAGTTGTTTTGAAATAAACTGGTTTGTTTGCAGAGGTTCTTTCCGATAAGAATTTGATCAATGAGTTGAAGAGCAAAAAATTCGATGTGGTTATGGCGGAGACTTGGGAATTGAGTGGAATATGTAGGAATCTTAAACTGCAATCAGAAATTCAGAGTTTCGAATTTTCAGACCTTGCTCATCTCCTCGACATCCCATGCATCCCAATGATGTCTACAGTGCGTTATCCCATTTTCAATCAAATTTTCGGTCAGCCATCTTTTGTGGGACACGTCCCTCAGATGGGCTCCGTGGGTGCTCCAGAAGCTGGATTCTTTGATAGGCTCAACGATGTCTTTGAAACATTTTGGGGAATTATCGCACAGGAGAGACTGAATAGCTACCAGAACCAATTCATTGAAGAAGCAATTGGAAGGTCAGTACCATATTGGAAAGATCTAGTGAAGCAGTCCCCAATTTACATCACCAATTCGAATTCTTATCTGGATTATGCTGTACCTACAACTGCTACTATTGTTCATGTAGGAGGGATTACAATGGATTTGAAGAAGATGAAAAATGGGGAACCACTATCAGAAGAATACGAGGAGATCTTGCAAGAAAGAGAGTCTACAGTTCTGATATCTTTTGGATCAGTGATTAGATCGTTTGAAATGCCAGAGAACTTCAAAGCAGGCTTGATAAAAATGTTCGAGTCCCTTCCAGATGTCACATTTATCTGGAAATATGAAAAGGACGACACTGAATTTAAGAAGAGGCTTCCCAAAAATGTCAATCTCAAGAAATGGGTCCCTCAGCCTGCACTGTTAGCTGATCATAGAGTTAAAGTGTTTGTGACCCACGGAGGATTAGGAAGTATAATGGAAGTGGCATACACCGGCAAACCAGCAATTGTGGTTCCAATTTTCGGAGATCAAAATCACAACGCAAACATGTTGGCAAGACACGGAGGAGCACTTGCCTATAGCAAATTTGATCTACCAGATGGAAAGAAGTTGGCAGGAGTTATCAAAGAAATGATCTCTAATCAAAAGTGAGCGTTCCAAAGTATTAAAATTTAAAAATCCAATTCTCTTTTCAGATACAAGCAAAACGCCGAAACATTGTTCCATGTTATATCCAACCAGCCAATCGACCCCACTCATAATTTCTTGACCCATTTGGATTTCGCCATAAAGTTCCCAAATCTTCGATCTCAAGTTCCTGAAATCAATCAAGTCGGACTAATTGCTCATTACTATTTGGATGTCGTTTTGTTCCTTTGTATCCTTGGCATTGCCTTTGCCTATTTATCTTTCAAACTGGTTAAACGAATTTTGAGACGGTTTGCGGGAGAAAAGACAAAAACTGACTAGGTACTTTGATCTCTGTTACGTGTGTTTGACCAATAAATGTTTGTTTTTGTGTCTGAACGGAATTACACCACATGGCTTGCGTCATATTAGACGATAAGAAAAAATGGCAGCATGCTGTTGCGCTCTAATGAGAAGATAACTACTCAAAGTTTTTTTTTGTTGAAAAACCATTTACTCGGAGTCAAGGGGTGGGGTCTAAGGTTTCCATTTCGTTCGGTCGAAAATCGCCGACCGCCGACCGACCACCGACCTAGCCGACCCACAGCCGACCGAGCTGACCGATTTCGTGCCTTTGCGCATGAAAACACGAATTTTTGCGTACGAAACACTTTATTTTACGACAAACGGGCTCCTGGACGTTTCAGAACCCGACGTTTCGGAACCACGACGTTTCAGAACCCGACAGTTCAGAACCCGACAGTCCAGAACCCGACGTTTCAGAACCCGACGTTTCAGAACTTTTCTGAATTTTTGTATAGTGGTTTTTGCGCACCAGATGAGCATTGCTCATTTCAATTTTGTGTTTTTCTGCTTTTTTGTTTATTCTCATCTACCGTACTCCAAATAGTGATAGGTTCACACTGGGTATCTCTCAACAAATCGAAAAAGTTGAACTTTTAAAAAACGATTTCATTAATAAAACCATTCAAAATGAGACTTCTATTCGCCGGAAAAATTATTGCGTACTTCTAGACATCGTTCTTGAATAGTTCAATTTTTTCGATTTTTTGAGAGATACCCAGTGTAAACCTATCATTATTTGGAGTACGGTAGATGAGAATGAATAAAAAACAGAAAAACACAAAATTGAAGTGAGCAGTGCTCATCTGGTGCGCAAAAACCACTATACAAAAATGCAGAAAAGTTCTGAAACGTCGGGTTCTGAAACGTCGGGATCTGAACTGTCGGGTACTGAACTGTCTGTTTCTGAAACGTCGTGGTTCCGAAACATCGGGTTCTGAAACGTCCAGGAGCCGACAAACGAGGATTTTAGTGAGTAGTTTGTCGTAAAATACAATGCAGCGTATGCAAACACGTTGACGCGCAAATGCACGAAAACGGTCGGCGCGCCGACCGATCGGTCAGTTCGGTCGGATGTCGGTCGGCGGGGTCGGTCGTTCGGCTAAATTTCCCGACCCAATGGAAGCCTTAGTGGGGCCTAAATTGCAACCCAGGCACGGTTTTGCCTGTACGGGTTTTTATCAGATTTGGATACGGTCATGAGAAAAACCATGAGGCAAAACGGTGCCAGGGTTGCAATTTAGGCTCTGCCCCATGACTCCGCCCACGTTTCGCTGGATTTTTTGCCGGAATTCAGGGAGTGCCTTCTCCCCGTTTCAGACGCTTACCATCCAAAGTCCATTCAAATTTCATTTTACAGATTTCAGAAAAAAAATACTGATCAGCGAAACAGAAAACTTATCACCACTATTTGACCTGTCAATAATCATTTATGTCTTTCGGTAACAATTTGGGACAAACCACAATAGTGTCCGTTTCCACTTATCACTACACGCTACACTAACCTGAAAAACTACAACTCCTATAATCGTCACAAGGCGCGGTCATTTTCTTTTGGTCGGGGGTATAAAAAGAGACCGGCAATAGACTTCAAGTTGTGTTTTCCGCCGTAATGCATTGTCTACTTACGTTTGTTTTTTTCCTCTTTGGAACTGTCCATGCGAAAAATATTCTGATCATCAACCCGATTTTCGGGTATAGCCATGCCAAGTTTATAAGTAAAATGGCTGATGTTATAGCCGACCATGGACACAATGTGGTGAGTTTGATTTATTATAAACTCACCCTTTTTCCTTGTTCAATAAGTCAAGAAACTTATTTCAGACATTATTCCAACCATTCCATATTGCTATGAAAAACCTTGACGGGTTGGTTAAAAGCAAGAATATCGAGATTATCAACTACTATCCCGATCATTATGAAGACTTGCAAAAATCTGAAGCTCAAACGTTCCCAGTGTTTTGGGACTCGCATCTCGTCAATAATCCAGTTCTTTCTTCCTTCATGATGCCAAAAATGCTAGCTAACGAGTTCGAAAAAACTGACAGGCAGCTCTACCTGGATACAAATTTGCATGCAGAATTAAAGAGCAGAAAATTCGATGTGGCAATTGCGGAGACATTTGGAGCAGCTTCATTTTGTAAGTCGGTTATAAGGGAGCTCCTAAAACATTCAAGTCCATTTTTTTCAGTTTTTGCTCATCTTCTTGAACTTCCATGCATTCCCATATACTCCGCCGTTCGTTTTGAAGTCGTCAATAAATTGTTTGGTCAACCATCTGCCCTTGGATACATCACACGAGATGGTTCAAAAGGCGCGCCGGATGCTGGATTCCTGGATCGTCTTAGCGACGTCTACAGAAAATATTTTGATGTCTTGGGATTCGAAAGAATTTTCCAATATCAGAATGAATTGTTTCAAAAAACATTGGGGAGACCTGTTCCATCATGGAAGGATCTTATAACACAATCACCAGTCTTCATTACAAACTCCAATCCCTACCTGGATTTTGCCGTCCCCACTACAGCAACTATTGTTCATGTTGGAGGAATTACAATGGATCTGAAGAAGATGAAAAATGTGGGACCACTACCAGAAGAATACGAGAAGATCTTGCAAGAACGAGAGTCAACAGTTTTGATATCTTTTGGATCTGTAATCAGATCATTCCAAATGCCCGATAACTTCAAAGCGGGATTAATCAAAATGTTCGAGTCACTTCCAGATGTCACATTTATCTGGAAATATGAAAAGGACGACACTGAATTTCAGAAAAAACTTCCAAAAAATGTCCACCTCAAGAAATGGGTCCCTCAGCCTGCACTGCTAGCTGATCACAGAGTTAAAGTATTTGTTACCCATGGAGGATTGGGAAGTACAATGGAAATCGCTTACACTGGAAAACCAGCACTAATGGTTCCAATTTTTGGAGATCAACATCACAATGCATTGATGCTGGCAAGGCATGGAGGAGCGGTGTCCTATGATAAGTTTGATCTTCCTGATGGAGAAAAATTAACAAGAACTATAAAAGAGATTATTACGAATCCAAAGTATCAAGAGAAAGCCCAAGAGCTTTTAGAAATTCTGTATAATCAACCAATCGATCCAAAACTGAACCTTATGAAGCATCTGGAGTTTGCTATTCAGTAAGTTGTAACGTTTCTAGGAAATTCAGAACACTTTTTTTTCAGATTCCCTAATCTTCGATCTCAAGTTCCTGAAATCAATCAAGTCGGACTAATTGCTCATTACTATTTAGACGTTGTTTTGTTTTTGGCTTCATCTTCTGCATTAGCATTCTACTTACTTTTCAAGGTTTTTATCAAATTTTCTGTGAAACTTATAAGTAAGAAAACTAAAACTGATTAGTTGTTGAGTGTCAAGGATCTCTGTTTTTTGTTCGTTGAATAAACCGGTTTCGATAATTATGTAATGCCTTATTCAATTCTCCAGAAAAATAAACATGTTTGTTTTCTTAACAGGAACAACCATGTTCTTATTGGACTCTTATTTGAAGTTTCACATTTGCTTCAATTTATTCGATTAGTGAAAAATGTAAGATACTGTCACTTGAATTTTGGTGAACATTCCTATATTCTTTGGTTATTATTTTCAAAAAAACGTCCATTTGTTAAAACCAGAAAACTGTTTGCCGCGCCTCCGACGCTTCAAAAAGATGGCTGGTGGTCCTTCGGCGCACTCCTTCAATTTTTGTCTTCATGATTCGCTGCTCCTCTCCTCAATTTCGGTTTCATTCCTCAATGGGAACATCTACGCCCTCCTTCCCCTCTTCCCTCGTGGTCCGCATCAACTTTGTGCATGAGCAGCAGAGATGTCGGGAATTCCTACTTCCGACTTCCGACTTCCGACTTCCGGGCATTTTTCCCTTCCGACTTCCGACTTCCCACTTCTGACTTCCGAGAAACAAATTTTACTTCCTACTTCCTACTTCTGACTTCCGAGAAACAAATTTTACTTCCTACTTCCGACTTCCGAATTACGAAAAACGCACTTTACTTCCGACTTCTAATTCTCGAATGTCGCCAACGACTTTTTGCAGAAAATCTGCAAAATTTGTCCGTTTTCGATCATAAAAATAAAAAAAATTGCCGAAATTACCGCGAATAATATAAAAAATGGTCTGAAATAACCGTAGGCTACCAAAATAGCTAAATTTTCGAAAGTTTAATTCCGACTTTCTAATTCCGGCTTCCTACTTCCGACTGCGAGTTGCAAATTTCACTTCCGACTTCCTACTTCCGACTTCCTAATTAGAAAATTTGCTTCCGACTTCCGACTTCCGAGTTCCAAAATTTCACTTCCTCACAACTCTGATGCGCAGCTATGGTGCGGAAGGTCCAGTGTTCAGTTTTGGTGGCAGCCAAAATGATATTTAACACCCAAGAAGTCGATAGAGTGACACCTGGACCAACAGACGCGTCTAGCGTTTCATATTATAAAAAAGATTACAAGAACCTAAAAACGATCAAACTTCAATCTCAATAACTACACGAAAAACTTCATCCTTTGCATTATCATTCTACTTACTTTTCAAGCTATTCTTTAGAATTTCTGTGAAACTTATCGGTAAAAAAAACTAAAACTGATTAGTTATTGAGTATCAAGGATCTTTGTCTCCTTTAATGAAATAAAAAAGACCATTGTTCATCTCACAAACTCATAAAAAACAACTTTCTCGTCATTCGATTAGGAAAGTATACAAAAAATTCAACCGCCACTTCCTGTTCTGTCAAGATGCGCCTGTTATTTCCTCTATTGATTTTCGGAATAGTTCATGGGAAAAATATACTGATCATAAATCCAATTTTTGGGTTCAGTCACGTCAAGTTCATAAGCCAATTTGCAGATGTTATTGTCGACCATGGTCATAATGTGGTCTGATAAAAATTCTAAATTTTCTAAAATCACATATAATTACAGACATTATTCCAGCCGTTTCATTCTGCACTGAAAAACATTGATTGCTTGGTTAAAAACAAAAATATTGAGGTAATTTGTTCTCGAGCAATTATTTAAATGTTTCACACATTCAGGTTCTTAATTACTACCCTGATCATTATGAAGAGCTATTGAAAACGGAAACAGAAACGTTTCCAATATTCTGGGACTCTCCACTTGCGAATAATCGAGTTCTTATGGCTCTTTTCATGCCTAAAATGATGGTAAAACAGTTAGAACGGACAGATAGGCGTAAGTAATGATCCTCAAAAACTAGCTGGTGTGTAGTTTTGTTCAGAGATCATTCCGACAAAGAATTGCATGAGAAATTGAAAGAAAAAAAAGTTTGATGTTGCAATTGCTGAAACTTTGGAGCTATCCGGCTTCTGTAAGTCTTTTTGGTGAATAAGAATGTTCAGTAAATTTTCCAGATCTTGCACATATCCTTGACCTACCTTGTTTCGCTATCGTATCCTCTGTTCGTTTTACAACCTTCAATGAACTTTTCGGACAACCATCAAACCTTGGATATGTACCCCAGGTTGAAGCCAATTTCATTTTTTAGTTCCCACGAAATAAGCATTAAAATGATAAGAAGATAGCTTCCAAACTTTAGCTTTTCCAACCATTTTTGCATAACTAATCCTTCTTTTTTGTTAATTAGATTGAGCGATTCCTGTAAAACATGTATTAGAAGGGCACCTGAAAATGAAGTGTCCCTCTAATTGAAGTACCCCTTACATTAAAGCCCCAGGAAAAAAGAAGGGTTGTAATGAAATGCGTAGTTGGGCAATAATATAAACCAACTCCAGATTGGCTCTCGAATGGCTCCTACATCTGGTTTGTGGGATCGGCTCAATGATTTATACATGAAATTTTCCGACAGGGTTGTGATGGAAAGAATTGCAAAACTGCAAACCAAAATGATTGAGGGCGCAATTGGAAGGCCAGTTCCATACTGGACAGATCCAGTGAAGCAGTCTCCACTTTATATCACTAATTCGAATCCTTACCTGGATTTTGCTGTTCCTACAACTGCTACAATTGTTCATGTTGGAGGAATTACAATGGATCGACCAGAAGAGTACGAGAAGATCTTGCAAGAAAGAGAGTCTACAGTTTTGATCTCATTCGGATCCAATGTCAGATCGTTTCAAATGCCTGAGAACTTCAAAGCAGGACTCATCAAAATGTTCGAGTCACTTCAAGATGTCACATTTATCTGGAAATATGAAAAGGACGACACTGAATTTCAGAAAAAACTTCCAAAAAATGTCCACCTCAAGAAATGGGTCCCTCAGCCTGCACTGCTAGCTGATCACAGAGTTAAAGTATTTGTGACTCATGGAGGATTGGGAAGTACAATGGAAATTGCATACACTGGCAAACCAGCACTAATGGTTCCAATTTTTGGAGACCAACCCCAAAATGCAATGATGTTGGCTAGGCATGGAGGAGCGGTGTCCTATGATAAGTTTGATCTTCCTGATGGAGAAAAATTAACAAGAACTATAAAAGAGATTATTACGAATCCAAAGTATCAAGAGGAAGTCCAAGAGCTCCTAGAAGTCCTGTCTAACCAACCAATCGATCTAAAACTGAATCTCATGAAGCATTTGGAGTTTGCCATTCAATAAGTTGCAATGCTTCTTCATTCAAAAGGAACACTATCTTTTTTAGATTCCCAAATCTTCGATCACTAATTCCGGAAATCAGTCAAGTCGGCATGATAGTTCATTACTATTTAGATGTTATTGCATTTTTTGGATTATCAATAATTTTTGCATTATATCTAATTTTCAAAATTATCCGTAGATTTTCAATTAGGTTGATCGCAAAGAAAAATAAAACTGACTGAAATTTCAAAAAAAATTGTATGGTAAAGAAATGACCCTGAGTAGAAAAAATCATACATTTTTGTGCAGTACAAGCTTATGTCGTTATCAATGTCACAAAAAGGCACAAATCAAAAAAAAAATTTTGATTTTTGTTTTACAATTAATCGTTAGACTACAACTAGCACATTCACTACACTCTGCCCAAAACATGGTTAATTGATAAGAAATGGGTATAAAAAGACCAGATAGTAGAGTCTAGCCAGTGTGTTTGGCCAAAATGCATACGACAAACCTATTGACTTTTTTATTCTTCCTCGGCGTTTCCTCTGGGAAGAATATTCTGATTTTTAATCCAATTTTCGGGTTTAGCCATGTCAAGTTTATCAGTCTAATGGCTGATATCATCGCTGATCATGGGCACAATGTGGTACGAATTTTTATTAATTAAAAAAATCCATTAACAATTTTCTAGACTCTCTTCCAACCATTCCATAATGCCATGAAAAACACGGAAGGGCTTGTCAAAAATAAAAACGTTGAGGTAGACCAAAAAAACACTTAGCGATGAAATTAATTAACTTTTCAGATCATCAACTACTACCCCGACCATTACGAGGAACTTGAAAAACTGGAGACAGAAACTTTTCCAGGGTTCTGGGATTCTCATTTGATGAACAACCCTGTTCTTCAAGCGTTCATGATGCCTAGATCTCTAGTTTTACAATTCGAGAGGACAGCAGCTCGTGAGTTTCATATTTCGAGATTTTGAAATTTCTGAAAAACAATTTTCAGAACTTTTGAAAGATCAAAAAACGTTGGATGAGTTGAGAAGCAAGAAATTCGATGTGGTGATTTCTGAGACTTTTGAAATCACCGGATTTTGTAAGAATTCTAAATACTTTTATCCTAATTCCTTGAACAATTTTTCAGATATCGCTCACCTTCTTGAACTTCCATGTATCCCGATCATGTCTGCTGTTCGTTTCACAACTTTCAATGAACTGTTCGGTCAGCCATCATCCCTGGGATATCTTCCAGCCATTGGATCTAATATGGCTCCAGAGGCAGGACTTTTCGATCGTATCAATGACGTTTTCCGGAACTTCTTGATGCTCAGCTGCATGGAACGTATGTCAGATCTTCAGCAGACATTCATCGAGAACGCAATCGGAAGACCAGTTCCACACTGGAGGGATTTGATCAAGCAATCACCAATTTACATAACTAATTCGAATCCTTATCTGGATTTTGCTGTCCCTACAACTGCTACAATTGTTCATGTAGGAGGTATAACTATGGATTTGAAACAGATGAAGCATGTGGGGAAGTTGCCAGAAGAATACGTTCCAATTCTCAATGAGCGAGAATCTACAGTTCTTATATCTTTTGGATCTGTGATCAGATCATTCCAAATGCCGGATAACTTCAAAGCAGGACTTATCAAAATGTTTCAGTCTCTCCCCGATGTCACATTTATCTGGAAATATGAGAAGGATGATGTGGAACTAAAAAATAAACTTCCCAAAAATGTCCATCTGAAGAAATGGGTCCCACAACCTGCTCTTCTTGCTGACAAAAGAGTGAAAGTTTTTGTGACTCATGGAGGGTTAGGAAGTACGATGGAAGTCGCATACTCTGGAAAACCTGCTCTTATGATTCCAATTTTCGGAGATCAACCGTGGAATGCAGTGATGTTGGCACGGCATGGAGGAGCGATTGCTTACGATAAATTCGATCTACAAGACGGAGAAAAATTGACTAGAACTATGAAAGCAATGATTACAAATCCAAAGTATCAAGAGAAAGCCCAAGAGCTTCTGGAAATCCTTTCAAACCAACCAATTGATCCAAAACTGAATCTCATGAAGCATCTGGAGTTTGCTATGCAGTAAGTATTTCATATTCTCAAATTGCAAAATGAAACTCAATTTTCAGATTCCCAAATCTTCGATCTCAAATTCCAGCAATCAATCAAGTGGGAATAATTGCTCATTATTATTTGGATGCTATTGCGTTCATTGCCATTTTTGCTGTGCTTTCTGTATATGGAACATACATAATCATTTGTAAATTGCCAATTCGGCTTGTATCAAAAAAAGTCAAGAGTGAATAATTTGATTTGTTAGCTGATCTCAAAAAAACTTTAATGTTGTTTTGAAATTAAATTTTAAGTATAAATAATTCGATTGAACTAAAAAATGAATCAACTTGACGTTTTAGAAAACCGCATTGACAGACTGAACAATGATTTGTTTTTTAATAACCGTATTGTCTTTCAAACATCACACAAACTTCAACAAAATGATAAGAACATGTTCTTCTCTGTGAATAACATCATTTTTTTCGTACTTTTTTCTACTCAATTTCAATCAATTGTGTACAAAGAATGCGCCCAAACGATCAAAAATAATTAATTGTCATCTAATTCAAGATCTGTGTCTTCTAAATATCTCCGTTACATCATCTGATTCTCCACCTACAAAACACTGTTTTATGAAAATGACAAATGTACTCAAAATAAAAACTAGGAACTACAACTAGCACAACATTCGGTTTTTCAGATAACAAGTATAAAAAAGGGAAAATAATATGTCTGGCCGGTCTATCCAAAATGCACTTGAATATTATTTTTCTTATTTTCCTACTGCTCATTTCGGCTCACGCTAAAAATATTTTGATCTACAACTCGGTATTCGCGTATAGTTATGTGAAATTTCTAAGCTTGATGGCTAATATTATTGCGGATCATGGCCATAATGTGGTAAGACTATATGACCAAATATGACAAAAAACGTAAATATTGTTTTCAGACACTGTTCAGACCATATTATATAAACCATAATACAGAGGGTCTCGTCAAAAAACAAACATTACGATAATTGACTATTTTCCTGATCACTATGAAGAGCTTCTTCATGCGAATTCGGAAACTTTTCCAATGTTTTGGGATGATCCATTTTTCAATCATCCAGTATGATGTCGCAATCGAAATCTCTGGAATTTGTGAGTTTAAAAACATAATATATTTGCTCTAATAGAAGTCCAAACTATACGTTCACTTTCAACTCAATTATCTCAAATTTCAAATGTTCAATTTTTCAGATCTTGCTCATCTCATCGACTTCCCTTGTATCCCTATCATGCCTGCTGTGCGATTCACAAATACTATGGACATTTTTGGCCAACCATCTCTTCTGGGATACATTCAGCACAGTGGATCCAAGATGGCTCCAGATGCTGGATTCCTTGACAGACTGAATGATGTTTATCGAAATTTTTTGTTCGATCTGAACACTGATTCAATCGGTTATCATCAACAAAAAGTATTTGAAAAAGCTGTTGGAAAACCATTACCAAGCTCGAAGGATTTAGTCAAACAATCTCCAATTTACATTACAAACTCAAAACCCTATCTGGATTTTGCTGTTCCAACAACTGCGACTATAGTTCAGGTTGGAGGGATTACTGTAGATCTAAACAAACCAAAAACCGCGTTGCCAGAAGACTACGAGAAGATTTTGCAAGAAAGAGAATCCATGGTTCTTATCTCATTTGGGTCTGTGATCCGATCTTTCCAGATGCCGGATAACTTTAAAGCAGGAATCATCAAAATGTTCGAAACCCTTCCAGATGTTACATTTATCTGGAAGTATGAAAAAGATAATGTGAAGTTCTAGAAGAGGCTTCCAAAAAATGTTCATTTGAAAAAAATGGGTGCCCCAACCCGCTCTTATGGCTGACAAACGATTAAAAGCGTTCGTTACCCATGGAGGATTGGGAAGTACTACTGAAGTGGCGTATTCTGGTAAACCTGCATTAATGGTTCCAATATTCGGAGTTCAGCCATATAAAGCCGACATGTTGGCTAGGCGCCGAGGAGCAATTGCATTCAGTAAATATGATCTTAAGAATCCGGAAAAGTTGAACAGCGCTGTTAGAAGTTTGGTCTATGATTTGAAGTGAATGATACTTTAAATATTCACAAAGAGAAATAACATTGTTAAGGTACAAAAACAACGCGCAAACTCTACTAGATGTTCTCTCCAATCAACCTATTGATCCAAAACAAAATCTTATGAAAAATTTGGAGTTTGCCATGAAGTAAGTATACAAAGACATTAACAAATACATTCAAACTCTAATTTCAGATTTCCAAACCTTCGCTCTCAAGTTCCAGCAATCAATCAAGTGGGAACTATTGCTCATTATTATTTGGATGTTGTAGCTTTCTTGACGATTCTAGCGGGCTTCAGCTTATACGTTCTATATTCCCTTCTTCTGAAGATTATCAGAAGAGTTGTGTCGAAAAAATTTTAAAACGAGTGATTGATTTGTAAAAAGTAATGAAGGAATTTTTCAATATTTAATTTCACAATTCACGAAAAATACGAACTCAAAAAAAGCTTATGTATAACTTTCAACAAGCTGGTAGGAAAATGACCTTGTCTGTAAAAATTAACCTTTCTTTTTTTCTTTTTTCCTACTCAACTTCAGTCTATTAGTGTCCAAAGAATGCGACCAAATGATCAAAAGTAATTGTATTGTCATCTAATTCAAGATCTATGTCTTCTAAATATCTCCGTTACATCATCTGATTCTCCACCTACAAAACACTCTTTTAATTAGCCCGTCCACTCAAAAAACTAGAAACTACAATTGGCGCAATATTCGGTTTGTTTCGATTAGATGACAAGTATAAAAGAGGGAAAATAATATATCTGGCCGGTCTATCCAAAATGCACTTGAACTATATTTTTCATATTTTTCTGCTACTCATCTCGGTTCATGCCAAAAATATTTTGATCTACAACTCGGTATTCGGGTATAGTCATGTAAAATTTCTAAGTCTGATGGCTAATATTATTGCGGACCATGGACATAATGTGGTAAGCCGATAGAGGTGAAAATAGCATAAAAATCAAATGTATCTTAATTGCAGACACTATTCAGACCATATCATATCAACCATAATACAGAAGGTCTCATCAAAAATAAAAATATCGAGGTGAGAGAAATCGGATTATCGAAACCAATATGTGAATAGAACAATTTTTAAGATAATCGACTATTTTCCTGATCACTATGAAGAGCTTCTTCATGCGAATTCGGAAACTTTTCCAATGTTTTGGGATGATCCATTTGTCAACCATCCGGTTTTGGAAGCATTCATCGCTCCGAGACTGATCAGTCAGGCGGTAGAGAAAACAGCTACTCGTGAGTACTTTCAAAAGTTGGAGGAATATTTTCGGAAGTTTAAAAGAAAATTTTCAGAACTTTTGAAAGACGGAAATATTATCCAAGAACTGAAGGCCAAAAAGTATGATGTCGTGATTGCGGAATTATTTGAAATCACTGGAGTTTGTGAGTTAAAACAATATTTTCATTTAATTACAAGTTTTCAAAATTTTCAGATATCGCTCATCTCATCGACGTCCCTTGTATCCCTATCATGCCTGCTGTGCGATTCACAAATACTATGGACATTTTTGGCCAACCATCTCTTCTGGGATACATTCAGCATAGTGGATCCAAGATGGCTCCAGATGCTGGATTCCTTGACAGATTGAATGATGTTTATCGAAATTTTCTGTTCGATCTGAACACTGATTTAAACAGTTACCATCAACAAAAAGTTTTTGAGAAGGCTGTTGGAAAATCATTGCCGAGTTGGAAGGATTTGGTCAAACAATCTCCAATTTACATGACGAACTCGAATCCTTATCTGGATTTTGCTGTTCCAACAACTGCTACTATAGTTCATGTTGGAGGGATTACTGTGGATCTGAACAAACCGAAAACCGTGTTATCAGACGACTACGAGAAAATTTTGCAAGAAAGAGAATCCACGGTTCTCATCTCATTTGGGTCTGTGATCCGATCTTTCCAGATGCCGGATAACTTTAAAGCAGGAATCATCAAAATGTTCGAATCCCTTCCAGATGTCACATTCATCTGGAAGCATGAAAAAGATGACGCGGAGTTCCAGAAGAGGCTTCCAAAAAATGTTCATTTGAAAAAATGGGTCCCTCAACCTGCTCTTCTAGCTGACAAACGATTGAAGGCGTTCGTTACCCATGGAGGATTGGGAAGTACTACTGAAGTGGCGTATTCTGGAAAACCTGCATTAATGGTTCCAATATTCGGAGATCAACCGTACAACGCCGATATGTTGGCTAGACACGGAGGAGCAATTGCATTCAGTAAATATGATCTTAAGAATCCGGAAAAGTTGACCAGTGCAGTTAAAAGCTTGGTCTATGACTTGAAGTGAGTCATACTTTTGATATTCTTTTTTAAATCAATTGTTCAGGTACAAAAACAACGCGGAAATTCTACTAGATGTTCTCTCTAATCAGCCTATTGACCCAAAGCTTAATCTTATGAAGCATTTGGAGTTTGCCATGAAGTAAGTATTTGAAGACATTAACAAATTCATTCTAATTCTAATTTCAGATTTCCAAACCTTCGCTCTCAAGTCCCAGCAATCAATCAAGTGGGAATTATTTCTCATTATTATTTGGATGTTATAGCTTTCTTGACGATTCTTGTGGTGCTCAGCTTATATGTTTTCTATGTCCTTCTTCGAAAGTTTTTCAGGAGAGTTGTGTCGGGAAAACTTAAAAACGAATAAAAAGATTTTTAAATTTTATTTTCTTAATTCATGAAAAAATACGGACCATCAGATATGTGAAAGCTCCGATCAGTGTGGCTGGGGTAGCAATAAGAAACAGAATCACATCGAGATAATAGTAGGGGATGAAACCAGATCTACTGATTCCGGGTGTTTGACTTTGCCACGTGGGAAACTTACAGGCAAACTCCAGGTGTTGAATAAAATTTTCTTTTGGATTGATTGGTTGATTCAACAACACTTTCTGAAGCTCTTGTGCATTTTTCTGATAGCTCGGATTGCTAATCATTTCCTTGAGTACTTTCGCCATTTTTTTCCCATTCGCCAAATCGAACTTGTTATAATCAACAGCTCCACCATGGCGAGCCAACATTTGCGCGTTTTCAAATTGGTCAGCAAACAGAGGGACCTGAACAATATTGGATTTACTTTTGATAGCTCAACTCTGTGTTACCATTAGCGCTGGCTTTCCCGAATGCGCAACTTCCATAGTGCTTCCCAGGCCTCCATGGGTGACGAAGACTTTCAGACGGTCATCTAGGAGAAGAGCTGGTTGAGGAACCCATTTTTTGAGATAGACATTTTTGGGAATTCGGCTGTTCATGTCTTCTTCTAGCTCGTCTTCATACTTGAATATAAATGTGACATCCGGAAGAAGTTCGAACATTTTGAGGATTCCTTTTCTGCAAATTCAGAATTATGTTCTTATCCCATATGTGATTTTGACTCACTTGAAGTTTTCTGGCATCTCATACGCTCTGACCACAGATCCAAATGAAATGAATACACTCGACTCTCGCTCATTCAAGATCTTCTCATATTCCTCTGGCAGCTCAATTTTCTTCAGCGTTCCCTTCTTTAACATAGTGATTCCTCCAATTTGAACAACATTTCCTGGCCTGGCAACCGCGAAATTCAAATACGGATTAGCGTTGACTATATAAACCGGCGATCTTTGAACAAGATCTTGCCATGCGGTGGGTTTCCTTCCGATTGCTTCTTTGATCACGTTGTATTGCGCATTGTTCATTGCCTTTTGACCAATGGAGAGGAAAAACGTGTTGTAGACATCGTTCAAGCGTGAGAAGAATCCAGCCTTTGGTGGTAGGGATGAGCCAGTTGCTGGGATGTATCCTAGAGTAGATGACTGTCCAAACAGCTCATCGAATACTGGATAACGTACTGCAGAAAGGACAGCGATTGCAGGGATCTGTAGACTTTCAGCGAGGTCTGAAATTGGCTGGGATTTGCTTGGGTATACAGAGAATCAGTTATTCTATGTTTTGTGACTTTTAACATATAGTCACATCAAAATCAAGGAAAATGGTTCAAAATCTGTGAAAATTTATCAAAAAGTTATTGAATTCATCCGAAATTTGTGAAAATTGATCGGAAAATCATGGAAAATGGTCCAAAAATAGTGGAAAAGTGACCCAAAAACTTTGAATAATGATTCAAAAATTACGGAAAAATATTCTAGAGAAATCATGGAAAAATTCAAAATTGCCTAAAAATAATAAAAAGTAGTCTAAAAATCAGGAAAAATAGCCTGGCCTCTATTAGAAGTGCCCCTTAACCGTCCAATTTCAGCTAATATTTCTCGGTTTGTGGGAAGATTTTAATTTTAAAAAGATTTTAACTTTTTTTTGGTGGAAACGTACACCATACTACGTAAAAAAATTTTTGTTGAATACTTTTGATACTTCTTTCAGAAACTGAGATAATGCCCTTCTATTAGAGGTTCAACGGTGTACTAGAACATTTGAAAATTAATTACTTTTTGGAAAACCAACTTAAATCATATTTTTTCTAGTGAATTCACTACCACACGATAATTGTGGTTAATTAAAATTTTTAAAAACATCAACTCACAGAATCCAGAAATTTCAAAAGTTTCCACCAAAACTGCATCAAAGTTGTAGGAGGAGAGCTCTTTGTGTAGCTTTTCGTCTCGGAGCATTTCTGCGAAAAATCCATTCATTGTTTAATCTCAAAATCTATATCAACTCACTGATTACCGTATTCTTGAACTGTTTAGCCACCATACCAGAGAACAGTGCTCCTAGAATCGGATTCTGCATCAATTTCGAGTCCCATGCCATTTTAAAAGTTTGCTCCTCATTTTTCTCCAACTCCGAAAAGTTGTCAGGATAGTAATTCATGATTTTCACAGATTTGTCTTTGATCAACCCGTCCAAATTGTTCATTGCGATGTGGAATGGTTGAAGGACTGTCTGAAAGTTTTTGGGATTTTAAGATTTTTTAAAGAGGACCTACCACATTATGTCCTCGCTCTGCAATAATATCAGCAAGAGTGGACAGAAATTTGACATGACTAAAGCCAAAAATTGGGTTGACGATCAGAATGTTGAGATTTTGGGTCATGGTTTGGGACTCCCAAATTGGGAGAAAGAATTGAAAAACTAAGAAAACTGAAAAATAGAGTTATAGAGGGGACATTTTTATATAAAAGACGGATTCTAGAGTTTATGCCGCCGACGTGACCGAGTGGGAAGAAGACGCAGACACAGAGAAACGGCCGGGAGAACAGACCCCATGTGGTTTGTGATCGAGGGGTGACTAGTAGTGGACAGAACAGCTGGGGGGGGGGGGGGGTTCCCGTTTTGTGGGTTTATGGTTCAAGATTAGGATTTTGAACTTTGTATAGTTTAAAAAGATACTGAAATCGTAATATAGGGCCAACATAAAGGGTGGGGGCACAAAACTAGCTGAGGACCTCTAAAAATTTCGAAAAATACCGATTAATTGACTTTTAAAGTTAAGTTCGCGCGTTGTTCATTAGAGCGCATTCGAAAACTCGGGCCAGTTTTGACGGAGGCAAGTCTAGGACTAACAGGGATGAAAACGATGTGGTATGCTATTGCGCTCCAATGAGAATGGGGCGTGGCAAAGTATTAGGCCGATGGAAAAGCAAATAAATTGGGAGCGAGAAAATACAATCTCAGGGCAATATAGGAAGAGACACAGAAAACAATTTTGAATTATCACGCCGCGCGAAAGTACCGTAATTTCTCTGACAGAAGGGCCCGGCCAACATTCAGCTCAATTATCTCGATTCCTGATAAGGATATCGAAAATGTTTCAACTGGTAAAATATTGATGATATTGTGATAAATAATTTATCAGTTGACACGTTTTTGATACCTCTGATAGGAATCGAGATAATTGAGCTCAACGTTGATGGCTTGTGTGAGCTTCTATTAGACAAAATAGGTATATTTTTCCAGCTGACACATTTTTTCCAATTAGAGCGGAATCGCATACCTCAGCAGTATTATAACCATGCTCTACAGTATTAGAAATCAAAAATAATATATTTAAGAAATCGATTCAATTAACATATCTTTTGAATTTATCAGATTCAGTATTCTTTTGTGGCGCCAATCCAAAAGCTGATTTCCAAGCTTCCTCTCCATTCACCATTTCAAAAACTGGTGTGGTGTCTTCTGGACGATAGTGACGAGCAATGAAGTACAACACACGAACTTCCTAAATTATCGATTTTCGAAAAATAACTGGGGCTTCACTTACTCTTGGAAAGATCTCCGAGAGTCTCTGAATCTGTGATTCTTTTTCCTTGGAATTCAATTTTGTATTGGTGAGAATATTTTCCAACTTGTTATGGACTTCAGTGATGTTTGATGCAACAGCTTTCACATTTTCCATCACAATTTCCTTTTGAACTGGTCCACCAAAACTAGAAGACTCTTCGGGTTCAAATATCGAATAATTATCTTCTGGTCGGTAATGCCGAGCTATGAATAACAGTGCGCGTACTTCCTGAAACCATCGTGATTCTTAGAATAAATCGTTGTATTCAGTCACCCTCGAAAATGTTTCACCCAATCTACCAATCTGATCTTCTCGATCCTTTTCCGCTAGCGTAGTATTGAAAATTATAGAATCCAGCTTATAATATACTTCTGTGAAGTTTGAAACCACTGCGTTCACATTTTCTAAAACCATAGCTAGTTCTGAAGATTTGGGTCCAAATTCGAGAGGGTCTTGTGTGGAAAGACAAAAAAGTACAGAAAGAATCACAAACAAGTTCATTTCAGTTACATAAAGTTAGTGATTTTAGAATGTCTTATATACCCTTAAATGTTTGACTGATCCCATTTTGGTCCTAGGAAAGCGCACGATGCTTTTGTATCTCCAAAATCTGAGCTCTAAACGGTTTTGGTCAAGTTTAAAAAGTCATTTTTGACTAGGACAAAGTGTTTTGTTGGTCAAAGAAACACATGAAAAGTGTAGCGTTGTGTAAGTGGTGTAAATATTGGGTGTAAAACATCAAAACCAGTACAAAGGGAGATCGACTTTTACCCGAAGAGACTTCAAGATGTAATCAAAGCGAAAGGAGGAAGGTTCGAAAACTGTTAATGCGATCTTTATTATTGTCTCTTAAAGGTGGGGAGACATGAAAAAAATAATGTTCTCGAAATTCCGTCTAAATACGCTCATCGAGGAGTTGAACTCATGATGGGTAGCTCATGGGTACAACGCCGCTACCTACTGAGCCACGCGGGCAAAGGAGGACCGGGCGCCCGATGGTAAACATAAGGGTGAGGGCAAGTGATGGGAGGAATTTCAGTCTCCGTTTCCGTTTTCCGTTTTCCGTCCGGTTTTTAGAGATTTTTTCCCGTTTCCGTTTCAGTAAAAGTAAAATCATATTTCCGTTTCCGTTTTCCGGAAAAACCGCTGACCAAAATAAGCATTTTGCATTTTTAAGGTTTTGGGGCCCATGTCACTTATTCCTTGTTTTAAGTAGGGATATTATTAGGGAAATTGTGTTTTTTCGAGATTTTTACTATTAAGTTTGGAATTCTCGGCAGCCATTGGGTCGCTTTTGGCCCGCTGGAATTTTTGGTCAAAAAGATCTTACGTTAAGATCTACTGTTACCTTAATGAGAATTTGAAAAATAATGTTTTCTTCTGAAACTAACAATATGAAAAAAAAGTACACAGTCCCATTTTTTCTCTTCCCAAAAACTCCCTCGACCCCTGAAGGTCGGTGTTTTCCAGCTACTCGGTTGCAAGGTCCCAAGGGTTCAACATGTGTAAACGCCGAGCAGTGTATACCATACAACTGTATACTTCCTCTTTCTTTGGTAAATTTCAAATCTTCCAAATTGACCGAATAGGGACCAAAACTCAATTTTAATAAGTTCCAGAACTTACTTTTATCTTAAATAAATTTGTTTGCAAAAGAAAACATAAAAAACTTTAGAAAATCAAAACTTCAAACTCTCGGAAGACTATGAGCATTTATAGACGACGTTGTTGGTAGAATAACCCCAAATCGAGCGAATAGTCGACGGCGTAGCGCTGAATGACACAGGGTAAAAGCCAGTGGGTCTAGAAATGGAAATGTGGAGATAACAATTTAGGACATGTAGAGCTGGCCCGGTTAAGAAATTCAGTCTTTGCAATTAAAAAAAAATAATACTCTAATTTTTTACTTGTTCAAACTTTGAGCTCATATATCTCGATTCTTGTGAAAGATATCGAAAAGTCGTCAACTGATAAATTATTTATCATAAAATCACTATTATTTTTTCAGTTAGCAAATCTCTCATATCTTTCAAAGGAGTCGAGATAATGGAGCTCAAAGTTGACTGTTTATCTTAGCTTCTTTCAAAGTAGCCGTTGTTTGTTATCCAGCTATGAAAGTTTTTTGGGAACTTTTTGAAATTCGGGGTTTTGAAAAATACATTTTCTAATAAAACAGGATTTCCTTAAAATCGGGAGCTGTTTAAGAGTAGTCTGGTTGAAAAACTCTATTAGAAGGGCCCTCAATCTTTCCAACATGACCAGTTTTGAGCCTTTTTTACAATAGACAGGTTGGTAATGCTAACATTATTAACATTTTTATTCACGACAATAAATTATAAAATAAAATAGCAAAGTTCTTATCCCTTGAAATGGAATCCTCCGAAGCTTTTGGCGGTGTTGCAAAAGTTCTCCATTTGGAACTGAAACCCAAATCTTGAATATTTGAAATTTAAAAAAAATCAAACTTACATTGCAAAGTGGCAAGTTCTTGGCCGCAGCTCTGGCACATGCACAGAAAGCTTCATCGCAGGTGTTTCTTGGTGTCTTTGCGGCATAACAGGCGGTATGGCGAGCACAGCAAACATCAACCTTGTCTAGAAATTTTGATATTTTTGGGCTAGATTTTTTTCTTATAACGTTGAACCTGTAATATTAGGTTGGCGGGAAAGTCTTTGTCACTCTGTTTGTTTAATCACTGTTCTCGTATATGGAGGCTGTGTATGATATCGACTCTAGTGAATAACAAGGTGATAAGAACCTTCCATATAAACAAGTCCCCATCTCCTTCCCTGCTCCTCATCTGTAATTGAAACGATATGTTTGTTCCCACTGCTATTCACATCAGACATGTTTTGATTTACCTCTTCCTATCTCACACCACGATGAAGGATTCGGAAACTTTCTTGAAGAATGTGTACAACACACATGCCCCTCACTACAATACTATTCGCAATTGGTTCCATCGTTTCGAAAAAGATGACTTCTCGCTCGATGAAAAGGGTCGCTCTGGGAGACCCCGTGAGTTGGATTTGGCAAGCTGAAGCACGCATTGCAATCGGATCCATTTCAATCTAGCCGTGAACTAGCTGTCACATTCGGAGTTCACCATAGCACAGTCCTTGAAGGTTTGAAGTCTCTTGGAATGAGAAAACTTTTTGGTCGATTCATACCTCATCACCTGACTCAAGCCAACCTTGACCGCCGAGTCGACGATTCGATTACTCTTCTCACTCTCCACGCGGGCGATCGATGGCTGGACCGGCTAATAACCGGAGATGAGAAGTGGGTCTTCTACGATAATCACCACAGGAAATCCCAGTGGGTTGGAGAAGGAGAGAGCCCACAGGATGTCCCAAAACCCGACCTTCATCCGAAAAAAGTTATGCTCTCTGTGTGGTGGGGAGTGGACGGCCCCATCTACTGGGAACTTCTGCCCGAGGGCAAAACAATAACTGGAGACCTCTACACTACTCAACTACGAAACCTCAAGAAAGCAGTCGACCGTTCGGCCCTGAAAGACAAGAAAGTGTACTATCAACATGATAACGCTCGCCCACATGTTTCGAAACAAGTGAAGCAGGAGCTGATGGGATATGGATGGAATGTTCTCCCTCACCCCCCGTATTCTCCTGATCTTGCTCTTTCCGACTATTGGTTATTTGGCGATATGACACGTGCCTTCGAAGGAAGAAGCTTCAATTCCCGTGGAGCGGTCGAAGCGGCACTCAAACAATACTTTGCCTCACGCCCGGCTGGATTCTACCGCAATGGAATCCATAAATTGAGGGAACGTTGGAGACATGTTGTTGATAATGATGGACAATATAATTAATTATTCGGTTATTTTTTCTTTGAGAAATAAACTATTGAAAAAGTGACAAAGACTTTCCCGCCAACCTAATAGAAGGGCCCCTTGACTTTTAACTCTAACAGTGAGCCAATTTATCTCGGTTTCTGTTACAGATATAAAAAAGTGATCAACTGATAAATTGTTTAACATAAAATCATACAAATCTTATCAGTTGCCACATTTTTGATATCTTGCATAGGAACCAAGAGAAACTAATTTTAACTTGACAATGTGAGCGCCCTTCTATTACAGGTTTTACGGTACTTACTGAGTCTTCCCTTGCAGTCATTCTTCACCATAAGCTCAGCAAATCCAGATTGAATAGGATCATGTCCGCAAGAGAAACGAGCGGAGGCCAAAGTAACAAGGCACAAGGAAACAAGAATCGCAAGAAGGCTGCTGTTCATTCTGAAACAAAAAACTTGGATGATTTTCAAAGAAAAAAGGAACGAATGAAACAATTCTGGATGCGTTACGCTCCTTATAAGTGGCGTCAATGGAACAGGTATAACGTGTTTTTTATCTCCCACTTACATCTCTTTTTTGCCTCCAGAATCGGGCGATTTAATGGATTACGCGATAGCAATTGCGACAATCTGTGGTTGCCATTCGTAGACATCATTTGTTAGTCTAGAGGATCCAAAGTGTCTGATTGTTAGGATATCTTTAGGTTCTGTGTTTCTTTGGAAGTATTCTAAAGCAATTTATTAGCAAGAAACTAAAATTGAATCAATTTGAGATCGGTTGGTTAGTTCATAAAAATTATCAAATCAGATGCTTGGTGAAACATTCGGATCTATGTCTCGGGAAAGAACAGTGATGAAGAAGAGTGTAGGAAGAAGGACGAGGAGACCCACGAAGACGGAGAAGAAGCAGAGAAGGAAGGATTTGGTCTCTGATAGCATGCATGGTCCGCATTTGTACATTCGAGTGTGTTCGCCTGGAAAAAATACAGTATTTTAGACATACATGTCGCGGCCCGGGCCGAGCCGGTGAAGGAATTTTCACTGTCCCGGCCCGGCCCTGGCCCGGCCCGGGTTTTTGAGGCAAAAAATTTTAAGAGTCACTTTTTGAGAGAACTCTGGATGTTTGGGAACATTTTATCAAAATTTTTTGATTTTCAGGTTTAAGAAGGGTCATGGGATAAATTTCGTGTTTTAAAATGATTATTTTGACAAACATGTATCAAAAATTAACAGAAAAATTTTGAAATATTGGGGACCCGGGCCGAGATTTAGCAAGTATATTTTAGAGACTTATCTTCTGAACTGGTAGTAGGACAAGAAGCAGTTGGGCATCTAAATCGACCTCAAAAATGGTCAACACTTTACAAATTCAAAATTATATAAAATTTTCAGAATAGGTTAAGGATAGCGTATATAGGCCCACCAGGGCTGCCTCACGACCGCCTTCGAATATGACAACAGAGGGCGTTTGTTTTTTCAGATGCTCATATAGAGATGTCTGAATTTTGCACTTCAAAATTATAAGAAAACCAGTCGATTTCCGCCGCCTGTCGGCGGCTACAATCTCCTGACTTCACTAAAAACGTTTGAATCTCCAAATCGGAGAGAATCAGAAGAGGAAGTTTTAGTTGATTGTGTTGTTAACTTTCATAAACTGGAGTGACAGTATGCTTATGCGCTTTCGGGGCTAAACCTTCTGGCTTCCGTTTACAACAGCCTTAACCGATTGAGTTTGGGCTTGGACAGATAATCAGAAATGTAGATCAGGAATGTGTCTTAGTTGATACACGAACTGTTCGAAATTTCCAAAGTTTTAGAACTAATAATTTTCCTGAATTCCCGAATATCTCGAAATTTGACAATTTATAATTTTTTCAGAAGTTTCGAAGTTCAGGAGTCCTGAATTTTTGGAACTGCGATTCTAGAACTCAAAGATTTTTCTATTAAAATACTTCATTTCAGAACTCATAATTTCTGAAATTTCGTATTTTCGAGTTTCCGTATTTCCGACTTTTTGAGATTCTACTTCACAAATTCCAAAAATTAAAAATTTTAACACGAATCAGATTTTCAGAATTTTCTCTAAAACACATTTCTGAGTTTTTGATTCACAAAGTTTATGAATTTCCGAATTTTCTAAATTCCGAACTTGGGCTTTCTGATGTTCTGAACTTCTGAGTTTCTGGTTTTTCTGGTTTTTTGCTTTCGAGATTTTGGATTTTCAAAATTTCGAGTGTTCTAACTTTCAAATTTTTTATTTCGTAATATTCCGAATATCTGAATTTTTATACTTCTGGATTTCCGAAACATTGGACATTTGAATTCTCTGATTTTCAAACTTCAAAATTTCCGAAGTTTAAATCTCGGTATTTTCGAGTTCCCGTTTTTCCAATTTTCCTAATTTCTGAATTAGAATTTTAGAATTTCAGAGTGAAACCAAAATGTTTGAAGCATAGGAATGGTTAGAAATTTCGCATTTTCGAAAAAAAATAATCAAATTTCGTGAATCAGAATCTCCGAAATTCAGTTTTTTAGAAGTTAGGGGGTTCAGAAAGCTTGAATTTTAAAGTTTACTGAACTTTTTATTTTTCTCTTCTCCTCTCAAACCTAAGACTAAATAATTATTTTCACAAAACCACCTTTTTATCAGATATAGTGTGGATAAGAAAAAAAATAGAGGGGTTGGACGGAAGTGACGTGAAAATAATTTTCTAAAGAGTTGCGCTGTAGGAATGGAGTAACGTCTCCAGATGACGTCAGAAACAAAATTTCAAAATGAAAAATAAACGGGCAACATCTCGCTGCTATTTCTGATCATCTGTGAAAATTTGAGAATTTTCGGTCTACTGGGGAGTTCGCTAGGGTCGTGGAACCGGGAACAAACGGACACACAGACAGAATTTGGTGATTGTTAATAGTAAAGATTATTTTGTGGAATTCGATTTTTTTAAATATTTTTGCTTACCGTAAGCCTGTAGCAGAAGGGCCCCTACTCTATTAAATTTGCAGTTATTTTTCTCAGTTCCTGTCGTCAAAGATAGGAAAAAGTTGTCAACTGATCAAATGATTATTATAACATCACAAACATTTTACCAGTTGACACGTTATTCATATTTTCCAAAAGAAAAAAAACAGCTTAAACTTGACAGTGTGTGGGGGGCCCTACTATTATGGGTTTTTTTAAATCTTAACTGGAGCCCTGTCTTTTTGAACCCATGTTTTAATGGCCTTTTGAACTTGACACTATTTTCAAAATTATTTGTCAACTCCGTGTTTGTTTGTATATTTTTTATTTCAACTGGTCTCTTATCACTATGGGTGGTGGAGTTTTAAAATTGAATTTCCCTGTCTATATTTGGCAAAAAGGCTCTAAAAATAAACTATGCTAGGCAAAAGTTCTTCAAAGTTATTTTTAAACGGAATTCAGTTATTTCTGACCAGGGTTAATCGGAGAAAGAGGATTAGTGTCAAACTGATGAAACTAAGAGGAACTAAGCATCGGAAACATATTTTTTTAAAAAAGGTGTTGATGTTTAGTTAAGATGTGCGAAAATAGAGTACATTTTTCAGTCAGCGTTTTCAAAAATTTGTAAAAAGCAAAAGTCTAATTATGATGCAACAACAAATGAAGCTACAAATGAAACCTTAACTATCTTAGTTTCTGTCAGAGGTGTCAGAAAACTATCCTGTAATTTTCGAGCTAATTTATCTCGGTTTCAAAAGACATAAAAAATTTGTCAACTGACAAAACATTTCTGATATTATGATAAACAGTCTATTAGTTGACCACTTTTTTGTAACATTTACAAGGACCGATATAAATTGGCTCAAAGTCAGGGACCATTCTATTAAAGGTTTTACTACATTTGGGCTCCGGTCTAGGTCTATTCAGAAGGGGGTTATTTTTAACCATCAACAGCAGTTCTTTGAACCGTCAAGTCTTACGCAGTTTACGTCTTCAGAAGCTGACAAATAGCAACAAAACAAGAACACAGTACCAGGTACTTCCGGATGGTCAATGATCAAAAAATTAGAAGGATCAGATGTTCATGACCAGAAGAGCAATCAGAACTTACTATCAATTTCAGCTTCAATGCTCCGTAGCGGCTTATCGAGTTGCCTCTCCTCATCATCATAGGTTGGTGGGAACGCTCGTTGCCACGTCAAATTGTTAACATCCATGACATAAATCGGAGGCATCTCATCGTTTGACGTAGCAGCGATTGTCTCATCCACAGTCTCACAGTAGTCTGGTGGAGCACTCATGATGGTCGATGAAGCAGACATTGTGAAGTGAAGTTGTTATCACCGAAAAAAAGAGTTATGATCTGTAAATATATATTTAACATCAAGGTTAATATCAATACATCACTAAACTATTAATAGACATGAGTTCAACACTGATAAGAAGAGATTTTTGAGTGGACGACAAAAATAGAAGGGGGAGGATTCTGTCGAGGAAATGCAAATAAATTCCGTGAGAATATTTCAGATTCCTGGGAAATTTTAGAGGAACCAGAAGCTAACTGTATTTTAGAACACATGAGATAATGCTAGACAAATTGTCGAACATCAAAATCTGAAATGTCAGAAGCTCTGGTTTACGTCTACATAGATTACCGTCAGCACACTAATAGAACCACCTCCCCCCCCCCCACTTTGAGACAATTTATCTCGGTCCCTGGGAAAGATTTCAAAAGTTAGTCAACTAACAAAATGTTGCTGATATCATGATAAGCATTTTGTCAATTGACCACTTTTTGGTATCTTTTACTCTAAATGATATATGAGGGCTCAACGTTGAGAGCGGTGTCTCGTTCAAGGTACCTCGTTTAGCGTCTTGTCAAGACGGAACCCGGGTATTCAATAGCAAATCTTTATTGTGACCATTCTGAGTTTTGTGTTCTTCATTTTCTTGTTTCTTTGATTTCTGGCCATTCCGCAGTCAATTTTGCATCGTATTCTCACGCAACACTTTACACTACAACTTTTAACTTTGAGCCAATTTATCTTGGATTCTGTTAAAGATATCAAAATGTTGTCAACTGATAAAATGGTTATCATAATATGGCCAACATTTTTTTAGTTAGCACATGTTTGATATCTTATATGGCAACCGAGATAATTGAGCTCAAACTTGACACTTTGTGGACCCTTCTATTACAGGTTTTACGGTATGTTTTTCAGTGTTAAATATAAAACTGAAACTTTGAAAAGAAAAAAATTAATCAGGCTGTTTTTGCAAGCTCATTCTGATTAACTTATATCTCTTTTGGCTAGACCTGGACAGGATATGACATCTATCTCCCACCTAGTCATTGTTTTGTTTTTGTGACCATTTTGAGTTTTGTGATCTCCACGTCTGTCTGCTTCCTTTCCGATTACACAACTCTATACTATTACACAAGACAATTTGCATCGTCTCCGCATCTAACACCTTTTTCCCACCTTCACCGAAAGGGGAGGACCAAAAATTAAGCGAACACAGAATACCGGTATGGGCAAGAAGGCGGAGCGAGGAATCCGCCTTCTTGCCATTGAGAGAAGTGTTGTAAACAACAAAAAATCGGATATGGGAGAAGGGGTATAAAAAGTGGCGAAGGTGTCGAGAAGTCAAGCAGTCTCTACTGTATTCAACAACTATGCGTTTCTTCGTCATCGCTACTTCCATGCTCGCCGCCGCTTCGGCCTTCTTGTTCCCATCTGGAGGAGGCGGAGGATGTGGATGGTGAGTTACATTGATCATAATGAGCCGGTTGGTCCATAGCAACCTACCCAGGGCCTAAATCACGGCCGACCGGCCGCGGCCGCGACTTGCGTTGACGAGCACAGGGTCTAATTTTTTTCCCTGCGACCTAATCAGTGAAAAAGTCACAAAAAATAGGTCATGCAGTCTGAACTAGTTAGTGCCCCAGAATTTCAAAAAATAATAAATTCATTCAACTTAATTAATCTTCCAGCGCTCCACCACCACCACCACCATGCGGAGGAGGATGCGGAGGAGGAGGTGGCTACGCCGCCCCACCACCACCAGCCTACGCTGCTCCAGCCGGAGGATACGCCGTCGCCGGAAAATAAGTGCCTCGTCCTCTAATCTACTCACAGTTTCTGTAAATTTCGAGAAAACTGATTATTATCAATAAATTTTCTGCATTCCCCAAATATTTTTTTACCATTTTTGTAAAGAAAACAAGATCCAATAGATTAGGCGCTTTGTAGATCAAATTCGAACCAAATACGAGTCATAATTCTAAGACCTACATAAGCCTAGGACTCAGCGGTGAAAACTAGAAAAAAGGAAAAGTTTTGCGGAATGATTTTTCATGTTATTATGTTCCCCTAGACGTCTACATTTTTTGCAGTAATGAGTTTGAGTTTTTCCACCTACGTTGTCTGAAAAAAACGACAGAACGGCATTTTTCTCAGAAAAAAAAGGGAGAACAAGTAAGAGTAAAAAAGAGAAATTGAAGATGTTTTCTCAGAGAAGAAGAGGAAGATATTCAGAAAATTGAAGAGTCGTAAAATTTTCGGACACATGTAAATTGGAAAAAATGAGTCAGCGGGTATTTTATGGTTTAGTGGGATAGGGTCTGAATTTTTTCTCACTGAAAAAGTCTGGTTTTAAAGGGAATCGAACATCTGTTGTCCTTTATTTTATTGTACTACATATGTTTCTCATAACTCATTGGGAATAAAAAATGAGTTATACGTTCTTAGTGAGAGTGTCTCTTAGTGAGGATTTTTCGTAATGAGGATGTTTCTTAGTGAGAATCTTTCTTAGCGAGGGGCTTTCTTATTGATAATCTTTCTAAGTGAAAATCTCTCTTGATAAGAATCTTTCCTAACAAGGATTTTTCTTAGTGAGGATCTTTCTTAGTAAGGATCTGTCTTGTTAGTAAGAATATTTCTTAGTCATTCTGTTTTACAAACCAATCACCACACATGTTTCTCATAACTCATTGGAGAAGAAAAAATAAGCTATACAAAACGGCACAAAAAGCTGTAAATGAGGAAATTGGAGGTCCCAATTTCTTGCCCTCGCATTCATCCATATATTCTCGTTTCCAATTTCCGGTCGCCCATATATGGAGATACATGAGTCAAAAAAAGACAAAGGGATGGAGTCAGAACAAAATTGCATATTCATATTTTTCTAGATCTGGAAAATGGAACAGAAGAACAACAAAAGAATACGAAAAAGTACTAGAAAACCGGGAAAAAGAGCTAAACAAGAAAGAGAGGAGAGGGTCCTTAATTGCCAACTCGATGAACTTTTTGACATGGAGAAGAGGCGAAGAAGGAAGAAGAAGAAGATGAGCAAAGAAGGGAATGGATAAAAGATGGGAAATAGATGAAGTGACGCCAGTTGACGTGGCAGAAAAATTGCCTCGAGCAAGAAGGGAAAAAAGATATTGGAAAATGGGCGATGGATAAGTGGCACTTAATTGATCATTCTTTTGTTGGGGGCAGTTTTTTTTTCAATATTTGGAAGAAGATGGAAAAATGGGAGAAAAGAGCCTTCAACGAGTTATCTAAAAATTCGTTCGTCAGAATATGATTCCGGAATCCCGAGAAAAGGTTCGAAAAGTATATTTTTCATGACACCAGCACGCGACAGATATTCAGATTTGCTGAAATTCAGATACCGTAAAACCTTCAATAGAGGGACCTCCTAACCAAGGCCGTGGACGGCCGTCAAATTTGGCCGCATTTAACTTGGTTCCTGTAAGAAGTGTCAGAAAATTTTAAATTGATAAAATATTTCTGCTGTTATGATAAACTTTTTTCAGTTGACAGCATTTTGATATCTTTCACAGTAAACGAGAAAAAAAGGAAAGTTATTTTCTCATGTCAGCTCAATTATTTATACTGATAATTGCATCACGATCATTTGATGATTTCTGTAGATCATTCTAAAATTTATCAGTGAAAATTTATATTTTCCAGATGATATCAGCTTCGTTTCCTGAAATAGAATGATTGCATCTCCATGAATTGTACGTTTCTTGGGTTTTTTTCTGAATTTCTTTTTTGTATTCCTTACACTTGATAAAGACTAACAATCTTTGAAACCTTGATCTTTATCTTCGGACATTTTTTGTTTCACTTTCTCTCCCCCCATACAACCTATACCTGCAAATGTGTAAAATTGTCATATTGCTGCGGAAATGATGTTTAGAAGCTGCGAAGCTTTTGAATTGTTGTATGCCAAGAAAGTGCCAGGGAAAAATTGTTTTCTCATCTGATAAGCAGTGCGGAAGTTTTGGAATTTGCTTGGAAAATAATGGAATTTTGTAGAACTGTTTTTTGGGTGGCAGGGGGAATTGGATTATGATGAAGCTTGTGTACCGTACTTACTTTAATAGAAGTTTACTCTGTGTCACACTTTGAGCTCAATTATCACAATTTCTGTAAGCGATATTTAAAAGTGGTGTACGGTGAAATTTTTATTGCATCAAAATGTGCAGAAATGCATGTGTAGATTGACATAAAAATAAAGAAAAAATTCAAAAAAAATTACTTTATCGAGAAAAACGCATCGAAAAATAGGCTGAAAACCCTTAGGGAGGAGCTTTTTCCGCTTGTTTTTTCAGCCACCCGGTGAGTAAATGCGCGCGAATTCAAACTTTTAAATTGTTTTCTTTCGTTTTTATTGTTTTTCCTGTTTTTTCAAAATTTCTCAAGGTTTTGGTTGATTTTTCTACCAGATACATCCGAAAACCTGAAAAAAAATGAAAACGAGAGAAAATTTTTCAAAAATTTGAGTTTGCGCGCATTTACTCACCGGGTGGCCTAGAAAAACAACCGGAAAAAAACTCGTCCCTAATGGCTTTCAGCCTATTTTACGATGCGTTTTTCTCGATGAAGTAATTTTTTTGAATTTTTTCTTTATTTTTATGTCAATCTACTTGCATTTCTGCACATTTTGATGCAATAAAAATTTTCACCGTACACCACCTTTAAAAGTTTTCAACTGATATATAGTTTATCATAAATTATAATTCATAATATTGAAAATATTTTATTAGTTGACCGTTGTTTGATACTCTTATAGAAGTCGAGATAATTGAACTAAAATCGTACATATAGGGTGAGCTGCTATTTGAGCAAACCCGGAATATCGGAAATTCGGGTTCCATTTAGAATTGAAATCGAATTATATTTTTTATTGTAATCAAATGAAAACAATATTCAGTTTTTCAGAAATACCATAGAACCTTTAATAGAAGAGGTCCACCCATAACTATCCGCTTAGAACGTATTTAAAAGTTAGTAAACTTTAAAAAATAGTGCCATCCAACCCGTCCACTTTGAGCTCAATTATCTTGGTTATTGTAAAAGATTCTAAAAAGTAATCAATAGACGAAATATTTTGATATTATGGTAAACATTTTATCAGTTGACCATTTTTCGATATCTTGCTCAGGAAGTGAGATATACGGGCTCAAAGTAGATGGGTTGGGTGACACTCCACCCTCGTGTTTAAGGTAGATTCGGTCTTTTACAGGTTTTATGGTTATGGTAAACTTGTGCTCCTTTCGTTTTTCTGAATTTGAATGTTTCTTTTTGGAAAGGAAACATTATCCTATTTCTATCCTTTCCATTTTGCTACAAATCACAAAAATCTTGAAATCCTCTTCTTCAATTTTCAAATTCCCCGGACAAAGCAACAGAGATAAGCGAGATATTCATCGACACCCCGTCTTTTTCACTTGCCTTCTCACCATCTGAAAGCCCGTAGATCAAGTGAGTAGCGTAAACCTGAATATTATCCGTAAGGATCCAAAAATCTCTCTTTTTTCTCTATCATCTCACCTCTCATTAAGTGTAATTCCTAACACTCTCTCTGCCACCTGTTTTGCCTCCCGCCACCTTAATCAGAAGCCCAGAAACACGCGTCATCGAAACAAACTGGAAGTGTCCGTCGGAAGAGAGAGAGGGAGAGAGAGAGAGAGAGAGAGAGAGAGAGAGAGAGAGAGAGAGCCTGTGAAGCTTCCTCTGCAAAATCGCCTAGTCTGGAGGTGAAAGGCGGGATTAGCAACACCCCTTTTTCGGTCGGCAAAAAACCGTATATTGAAATGAGTATAAATAGTGGGAAAGGTGTCGATAAGTCAAGCCAGTCTTCAAACAACCTTCTCATTTCTAAACCATGCGTTTCTTCGTCATCGCAACTTCCATGATCGCCGCCACTTCGGCCTTCTTGTTCCCATCCGGAGGTGGAGGATGCGGATGGTGAGTTCAACATCCTAGAAATTGTTTCTTATATTCATCTCCGTAATTTCAGCGCTCCACCACCACCACCAGCCTGCGGATGCGGAGGCGGAGCTGCTCCACCACCACCAGTCTACGCTGCTCCACAGCCAGCCTACGCTGCCCCAGCCCCAGTTGGAGGAGCCTACGCCGTCGGAGGAAAGTAAATGTCCTGCCTGCTGAATTTCAACCAGTTTCTGTACATTTTGGAACACTGAATTTGAAAATAAAATCATTTTTCAATTGAAGTATTTTTTTTTCTCTATTTCTGAGACCCTATACAGAATCAGTCCAACAGGAAAAGAGTGGAAACAACTCCTAAAATATTAAGGCTCAATGTCTCATTGCGAGAAAGAGTGGCCTAACTTTCTCAACATGAATTTCTAGGCCACTGAAGTTGATGTCACAGAAGTGAGTCTCCTAGGCCAAGATGGATTTTCCAGGCCACATTGGTAAATTTTCTAGGAATGACCTAATTTTTACCTAGTTTCTCATCTGGCAGTCCTACGGCTTTATACGAAACCAAAATTTGAGAAAAAAACTATTTTTCGAACCTTCGAACTCACAGAAAGCCACTCAAAATCTGAATCTTTTTTGAAATTTTTTTTGCGGATGCACCATTTTCGAGCTCAATTATCTCGATTTCAATAAGGGATATCAAATATGTCTGAACTAATAAAACACTTCTGATACTATGATAAACATTTCATCAGTTTACTACTTTTTGATATCTTCAACAGGGACCGAGATAAATTAAGGGGTCCTTCATATACAGGTTTTTCAGAAATCTCAGAATCCCATAAGCCCTTTGTTATTCTGTCAGAACGGATGTGTCGCAAAATTGTCGCAAGGTGATGAATTTGATAGCCATCTGATCTATGAATAGATAAGGGCTGTCGCACCTGGCGACCCACGTGTGAATCAGGTTATTTCGAATTTTATGGGTGGGGGGGGGGGGGGGGTTAGATATCAATGAACTGGATTTTGAAGCTAGGCTGTTGAAATTATTTCGCCCATTGTTTGTTTTATTTTGAATGGGTAGATCAAAAAATTAGACTAAATCTAGAGGGATAGTAGTCCGATTTCGTGAAGTAGCTTGGTAGCTTTATTAAGGTTAATACAGTTTTCAAACGTACAGTTCAACCAAGGGACAGAACGGCTTCTTACTTTGAGCTCATATATCTCGGTTCCTGCGAAAGATATCAAAAAGTAATGAACTGATAAAATATTTTTGATAGTATGGTAAACGTTTTTTTAGTTGACCGCTTTTTGATATCTTTCACAAGAACCGAGATAAGTTGGCTCGAAACTAGCATACTTGCAACCAAGCCTTTGCCGGGCCCTTCACGGGCTTTGACATAGTTTCTTTCGGAAACAGTGTTTTTAGATTATCTAAATTAGAAATGATAGAGCTCGGCGAGTACTACAAACTGATACTATTTTTAAAAAACTGTGTCTTGTCTATGAACAAAGTTACAAGTCATAAAGTGGCCGGGTCTTGTCGCGAAGGTCGGGCCGGGCCTGGCCTTGGTATTCTTGTCTGTAACTTTGTTCAAAAACAAAACGCAGTTTTTCGAGTAATATCAATTTGTAGCACTCGTTGAGTTCTATCATATTTAATTTAGTTGGGTGAGAAAAATTAATTCTAAAAAAGCTATGCCAGATCCCGCGAAGGCGCGGCAAAGGCCCGGTTGCAAGTATGGAAATTAGGGGCTCTCCAATGACAGGTTCTACGGTATTCTGAACTTTAAGCAAATGCTTTTTCATAATCTAAATTATTCATCAAAACACCAAATAAGTATTCTCGTTTCCCATCACTCCACATCTGACGTCTTCTTTGTTCACCCTTTTCCTGTTATTATATGACCTAGATGGGGGAAACGGAGGCTACAACAAGCTAATAACAAGCCACCCCGACGTTTTGCAGGTGATCCGATAAAAACGGTTTATGATCATTCTGCAGAGAGAACCTGATCTAGTTGAGAAGAGAAACGTCAATAATGTTCGGTATTAATGAGGGAAAATGAGGGAAAACTTCGGTTTGGTGATCAGTGATTGGAAGGTTACATGATCACTGCAACTTCTGAAAATCTAGAGGAGGTGAATAATGGATTAATCAAGTTTGGGAAAATTTGGAGTTTGGCACTTGTCATGTCATAAATAAATGTAACCAAGTGATATCTAAAATTGGCTCTAATAGGCTCTAAAAATTGAAAGGCAATTTTTATATTTTATAAATTCCAGATTTAATGGACTTCTTGGAACCAGCATCTCCTAGATTTTGACTCACCTTACATTTCATTCAATTGGCTAGTATCCCGACATATATTCTTGCCTTAATTTCTCTCGTTTTAATAAAATCAAAGCTTTTCACAACCTATCGAATCTTTTTGATTTGGCATTTGGTTGAGAATTTTTTCTTTGAAATATATTCTGCATTTCTTGTGGAACCGGTAGATACGTACTACTGGAATTTTACCGAAAATGGGTTTTGGAAGTCTTTATCAGTTTTTTATGTTAGCCTTTGCTATACAATGTAAGATTGGTGGGAGTATAACAAGTGCCGTACTTGCTATTAGGCTTCCTCTCGGTCGGCAAACTCAGCCGGCCGACCGACCGCCGACCGAGCTGACCGATCGGTCAGCGCGCCGACCGAGCGGTACCGTCCGATCACCGTCCGATCGGTCAGCTCGGTCGGCTGTTGGTCGGCTGAGTCGGTGGTCGGTCGGCGGTCGCCGATTTTCGACCGACCAAAAAAGGAAGCTATAATTTGCTCTAATAGAAGCCCACCGTATACGTGCGCTTTGAGCCAAATTATCTCTAATACTATGAAAGATATCAAAAAGCAATCAACTAACAATATATTTATCATAATATCAACAAAATTTTATCAGTGAACCAAGATTTGATACCTATCACAGGAATCGAGATATTTTAGCTCAAAGTGCAGGTATAGGCAAAAACGATGATTCCATTTTTTCAGACAACGGTGCTTCAATTAGTGAAATGTTTTGGTTCCGGTACAAGGCAAGCATCCTGAACTATAACAAACATAAATTCACATATCTCCTTCAATTTTTTGTTTATGCCACAAGATTTATTGCCATCTTCGAAACAGAATTCCCATTTTTCGTTGTAGGCGATGCCTAGGAATTTCAGCAAGAATTCAAAGCTTCTCTATTCAAATCAAATCCATCAGACATATTTCTGTTATGTGATATCACTTATATTATAGCTGCTTTTCGCGACTATGTATCTTCTATTATTTTAGCTTCCTGGATTCTACAACCCATATTTTTCCTGTTTTCAATCCCTGAAGCAGATGCTTTCATAACGTTCAACCTCCCAAAAACTATGTCAGAAGTGACCTTAAAACTTCAGAAACAACTTTTGAAGAGCCTTTTTATCCAAGCATCGATCCACGGAGTTATGCTTGGAATCCCTAATATCATCTTCATATCTGCAATTTTGTTTGGTTATGAAAACGAGATTGTAGCCTATGTGGCGGTTGGCTGTTTGACTTATCATGGTTTCGCGTCTAGTTTGGCTGAAATTGTGTTTACGGCTCCGTTGAGAAATGTCATAATGATGTGGTGTAAATCAAAGAAGAGAACGACAGAGAACAAAATTATTAATAATAAGTTAAGTAACAAGAGGACTTCAATACTTTGATAATGGTTGTAATTTTTGGTGATAATATTTTTTGTCTTCGATATGAATAAATGTTTTTTTATTTCATGAAATTTTAAGGGAGGGGCGACTGGAGGTTTTTCTGAGTCATTAGAGTTACTGTATGCATTCTGACGTGACGGTGTACAATGATGATCGCACAGCGCGTGGCTATCGGCCGCTTGCGCCACCTCAGCTCGGCTGGTAGCAGCCAACACTTCCAGAATTCATTCTACAAGTTCAACTCCGCGATGGGCATATACGAATGAAAGTTCGGAAAAATCATTTTTCATGTATCCTTACATTTAATAGCAAAAAAATATGCTCATTTATGTTCTGCGACTAGTACATAAACCAAAATTTTCCATCGTAATTCAATTCTGCGCAAAAGGCGTGGGACAACATAATATCATAAAGGAAGTTTTCATATTGCCATATGACTTGATAGAGCAAAAAAACAAAATTCTTCCAAAAATGAACTGTCTCGATCCGGCTCCGGATACCTATCGAACCTTCACACACTCGTTACAGTTTATTAGTATTCCAACATATCTGCTAGTTTTGATATCATTGATTTTTATAAAGTCGAATGTTTTCACAACTTATCGGATCTTTTTGATTTGGCACTTATTGGAAAATGTTTCCTTCGAATTATATGCCGGCTGGATTGTGGAACCAGTTCTTCATGCTCCTTACACACTGATGAGAACTTCTGGAATATTGTCAAAAGCAGGAGTTGGTGGACTGGTACAAACCTTGATACTGTGCTTAGGGATACAATGTAATGTTTATATTTTTTCTAAAAATGTGTACTGTAATTTCGAGATTCCAGATAACGCCGTTTCGATAAGTGAAATGTTTTGGTTCCGATATAAAGCCAGTATCATAAATTACAAAGAGCGAGGCTACACCTATTTCCTTCGATTTCTAGTGAACGCTACAAGGTTCATTGCTATATTTGATGTTGTCTTCTGTACAGTAACCTTTGATGATGGATTCCGATTCCAACAAAAATACAAAACAGATCTTCTAAAACTCCACCCATCTGACACATTCCTCACATGCGACTCTGTTTATATCATGGTCCCTTTCGAAGATTATGTTTCCGCCGTATTTGTAATATCTTGGATTTTACAGTCTATTGTACTGTTTCTTTTTGTCTTTGGAATTTCCATTTTCGTCAAATTCAATCTCCCAAAAAGTGGTTCAGAAGCTACTTGGAAACTTCAACAACATCTAATGAGAAGTCTCATTATTCAAGCATCGATTCATGCAATAATGCTTGGAACACCCAACATGATGTTCGTTTACGCGTTTTTATTTGGCTACAAAAATGAGAGTAAGAATAAAAAGACATCTAGAAAAATTGTCCATTTTTCAGGTATAGCATACGCTGCATTTTTCTGTTTGACCACTCACGGATTCGCTTCTAGCTTGGCTATGATTATATTCACGAAACCGTTAAGACAGTATTTCCTGGTTTTGTTCAAGTTAAAGAAACCAGTTGCCAGCAAAACTTCGATAATTTCTGTGAATAAGAGAGCATCCGTTTTTTGAAACGCAATGAAATTTTATTTGATGTTTTGTTCTTTCGAAAAGTTCCTTGTTGCCAGTCACAAGGTGAAAATAATTGAGTTTCCTCCAAGTCCATAAAGTTATGATTTCTTTTTGCATCAAAGTCCCATATATCGCATTCTCATGAATTGCCTCGACTCACCTCCAGAAACTTATCGATTCGCTATGCACCTTCTCCAGCTAATCAGTAATCCCACTTATTTTATATCCCTAATATCTTTGATATTGATAAAGTCAAACGTTTTCACAACGTACAAACATTTCCTCATCTGGCATACGTTGCATAACTTTTTCTTCGAAGTGTATTCTATTCATCTAGTCGAACCAGCACTACATGCTCCGCACACTTTGATGCGTACAACAGGAATTTTATCGAAAGCTGGAGTTGGAAGTCTAGTGCAGACTTATATGTTATCTTTAGGTTTGGAATGTAAGTAGGGCTTCCATTTCTGTTGGACGAAATTCGGCCGCCGCTGACCGACCGCCGACCGAGCTGACCGAATTCTTGCATTTGCGCGTCAACATGCGAGTTTTTGCGTACGTAACGTTTGTTGAATAGTGTGTCGTAAACTAAAATACTGCATACCATTGATGGGAGGAATTTCCGTTTCCGTTTCCGTTTTCCGCCCGGTTTTTTGAGATTTTTTTCCTATTCCGTTTCCGCGGAAAAAAATTTACGTTTCCGTTTCCGTTTTCCAGAAAAAACGCCAACTTTTTTGAGCGGAAACGGAAAAAAATGTAAAAATTGACGAAAACATTGAACTGAAACTGGCTCGAAAAAAAGAATGGAAAGTGAGGCAAATATAATTTTTAAACGTTAAAAATAGTTTTATTTTCATGTTTGATGGGAAAAAATCTTGAAAAATAGACGAAAAAAATAAATTTCTGTTTCCGTTTCCGTTTTCCGCCCGATTTTTGACGATTTTTTTTTCCGTTTCCGTTTCCGGGCTCAGTATCCAAGGGTACATCGGAAAAGGGTACATCGAGTTCTTAGGGTACATTGGATCAGAGGGTACATCAGTTCTTAGGATACATCTGGGAGGTAGGTTCAAGGGGTACATCTGGCATTGGTTCTGAGGGTACATCGGAGAAAGGATCCCAGGGTACATCGACAAGTTCTTAGGGTACATCAATTAAAAATTTTGTAGTTTTCAACTGGAAGATATTTTGGTATAAACTGCACTATTTTGCTTGTTTTTTTTTGTCGATTTGTTTGAAAAAGTACAGTTTCTCATAGTTTTATTGATTGACCAGCAAGCTGGTGAGCCTTCGGCGCGATTCCATCTATTTTTTCAAATCTTCGTTTCTCACTTTTTCTAAATAAAAGGGTCACGTAAATATATATGTATTTTTCAATTTTTTCAAAAGTCTACAGACGGACACGAGGACGGACAGACGCCTCTAGCATTTTATTAATAAGGAAGATTTGTTTATTGGAGCTTGTATCCACAGAATGCAATAGATGTACTATTACATTTTGAGCCTGCCGAAAAAAAACAAATCCTTGGAATATCGCAACATGATGATACCTTCAAAAACAGCAAGAGGGCCGACCGGCGACATTAAGAGATGATTTTGAGAGCAAACTCATGTCAACAAAAAACCAGTTTTATTAAAAATTAATGAAAACTACTACTGTCTATTACGAATTATCTGGTCTTAGTTTCTGTATCCCCATCTTTCTGGCGCTTTTACATAGCGTTTCGGCAGTTTTCGTGGAATTGTGGACTGCAATGCACATTTGGCGAGTAGTCAAAAAAAATATGAAAAAAAAACTGTACTTTTTCAAACAAATCGACAAAAAAAAACAAATAAAATAGTGCAGTGTAAACCTTAATATCTCCCAGCTGACAACTACAAAATTTTTAATTGATGTACCCTAAGAACTTGTCGATGTACCCTGGGATCCTTTCTCCGATGTACCCTCAGAACCAATGCCAGATGTACCCCTTGAACCTACCTCCCAGATGTACCCTAAGAACTGATGTACCCTCTGATCCAATGTACCCTGAGAACTCGATGAACCCTCGATGTACCCTTTTCTGATGTACCCTTGGATACTGGGCCCCGTTTCCGCGGAAAAAAATTAACGATTCCGTTTCCTTTTCCGTTTTCCGTAAAATTTTTTTTACTCGTTTTTCTTCCGTTTCCGTTTTCCGCGGAAAAAAAATTCCCCTTTCCGTTTCCTTTTCCGTTTTCCGTATTTCGGTAAAATGCGTTTCCTCCCATCACTGCTGCATACGCAAACCCTCTCTGGCATTTCACCGCGCAAACTCACAAATTCGGTCGCCGGTCCGGCCGGTCGGCTAAGTTTTCTTACCGAATAGAATCCTTAACTGAAACTAATAAATAAGGAGCAAATATTTCAGATAATGCTTTAACAATAAGTGAAATGTTTTGGTTCCGTTACAAGGTTAGTGTCATAAACTACCGAGAACAAAAACACTTTCGACTTCTCCAACAACCAGCTGTCATTACAAGATTTATAGCTGTCTTCGCCACTCTTACCTGTATTCTCACATATAACGATGGTCTCCGCTTTCAACAAGAGCACAAATCCCGCCTACTAGAATTATACCCCTCTGACACTTTTATCTTATGTGATTCCGTATATCTACTAGTTGCATTTGGAGACTACACTTCTTCTGTATTCGTGGCAATATGGATTTTTCAGTCGCTACTTAGCATCTTGTGATGCCTGCGACCTTTTTTTTCATCAATATGAACATTCCTCAAACTGTGTCAGAAACTACTATGAAACTCCAACATCAACTGCTACGAAGCTTGATTATCATGGCGACGCTTCATTTAGTTTTTCTTGGAATCCCGAATGTTATGTTCGTTTACGCATTTCTATTTGGTTATGAAAACGAGGGCGTGGCTTATATCGCGTTCATCTGCGTGACTTACCATGGGTTTGCTTCCTGTCTAGCAATGATTATATTCACAAAACCGCTGAGAAGTTACATTTTGAGAATTTTCAAATTCAGAAAAGAGCGAGAAAACCACAGGAGTTCGACTGGATTAGTGAATCAGAATAAAAGACCTTCGATGTTTTGAGAATAAATCATTTTTATTTAAAACCCCATAACACAAAAATCACTCCACACAGCTGGAAATTAAGCCACCCATATGATTGCTTCCCGTTTTCCTTCTGTTTACACAACAAAGAACCAGAATCTATAATATGAATTGCCTTCAACCTCCGACTACAGCTTTTCGAGTTTTTATACACTCCATTCATATTTTTAGCGTTCCAACTTATTTTATAACACTGCTATCACTGATATGTGTGAAGTCAAGTGTCTTCAAAACCTATCGGTTGTTTTTGATTTGGCATGTTGTGGAGAATTTGTTATTTGAAATTTACTCATCATTTTTGATAGTTCCCGCCCTTCACCCACCGTTTACACTTATCAGAACAACAGGATTATTGTCTGAATTTGGGATTAATCCTATAATTCAGTTTTATATATTGGCTACTGCGATTGAGTGTAAGTTAATTTTTTTTTGAAGAAAGCTCCCAGACATGCTCTTTTCAGTCAATGGTCTATCCATGAGTGAGATGTTCTACTTCCGTTACAAAGCGGGTCTTCTCAACTATCGAGAACATCGATTTTCGTATTACTTCCGAGCATCTGTATACCTGACCAGAGCAATTTCCCTTATGGATATATGCTTTTGCATTCTCACATTCTCTGATGGATCAGAATTTCAACAAAATTACAGAGCTACTCTTGTTCAAACTAATCCACTTCTTCCCTTCTTATCTTGCCCAAATACCTATTCAGTTGTACCGTTCGCTGATTATGTTTCAACTATTGTGTTGGCATCCTGGATTTGTCAAACCGTTAATCTAACAGTTTCCATCCCTTTAGCAGTTGGTTATATGAGTGAAAATGTTCCTAAATCTATATCACCTGCCACGTGGAAGATTCAACAACAATTGATGTGGAGTCTGACGATCCAGGCAGGTATTCATGGAATCATGTTGGGTGTTCCGAACGCAATGTTCATCTATGCATTATTTTTTGGATTTATAGAAGAGGGTAAGGTTATGGGAGTGTCATTAAGGTTTCCAATTCGATTGGTTTAAAATCGGTCACCGCCGACCGAGCTGACCGAACTTGCACAAGTCTCTGACCACATATTCTATGTATTATTTAAGACTTGTGGGAGACTTGTGCAAGACTTGTGGTTGGCTTGTCTAGACTTGTGGGGTGGCTTGGCCAAGTCTTGCATTCTGTTGTTTCTGTTGTTATTGTAACGACACTAGACAAGGCCAAGTCTCCCACAAGTCTTAACTATTACATAGAATAATGTGCTCAGTGACTTTTGCAAATATTGGCGCCGACAACCGAATAGGTCGGCTGGGTCGGTGGTTGGTCGGTCGGCTAAACTTCTCGACCGAATGGATGCCTTAACTCTCCTAACGGATTAAGAAGTGTTTTCAGCTCCTGGATATGCTGCATTTGTGTTTCTGACTTATCATGGATTTTTGTCCGCTTTCTCTATGATTATTTGTACTCGACAATACGGGAATATTTATTGAGAGCGGTGAAAATCAAAAAGTATGGAAGTGCAAGTGTATCAGTTAGTAAAACTACCAAATGAAGACTTCTATGAGACAATAGACATTGTGTCAAATGTGCTTAATTTTGATCATGCTTTTTTGAGAAATTTTGAAAAATGGATTATAAATGGACCGTCTGTTGTGGTTCAATTAATTCCGTGTGGTCTCCACACTCATTGCCGCTGCTTTCGCTCTTGATGACTTTGATTTGCATGTCAAAAACTTCCAGACACCTTGAAACAAATCTAAAATCCCACATTTTTATTTTTCGCTCCTTTATCTCCCTTACCAATAATTGCCCTTCTGTAACTTGTCACAATAAACATAGTTGGCAATGGATCTATAGCGGGATACACAGCAATTGTCATTGACACCAAACTACTGAATTCCCCCAAGTCGAGGGAGCAGAATACGGTTGTAAATACAGGGTGGCTGAAAAGTATTGAGACACTTGTTATGATGGCTCTTGGCACCGTGCCAAGTCGTATTTTCGAAAAGTTTCGTATTATTTCGAAAATAGAGAGCGTATATAAGCCGACATTAGAGCCATTTCCCATCACTTTATCTCTTCACGAAGTTATGCGAGTTTCTCCTCATCGCCAAACCATTGCCAAGCTGTTCAACGACGGCATCTCCACCGGTGGCATCGCTCGAAGACTTCTTCTTCCGAGAGCAACTGTCTATCGAGTTGTGCAACAATTGAAAGATTGAGGACATGTGTTGGAGCTTAAGAAAAGCGGAAGACCTCGTACTGTCAACACTCGCCGGACTCGTGGCATCATCAAGAAGAGAATCACACGAAATGATGCGGAGCATGAACGGCATGAACCAAATGGCTTCATGAACCAAATGGCTTCATCGCTCGGAATCTCAAGACAATCGGTTCAATCCATTGTGAAAAAGGACTTGGGTCTGAACAGTTATCGGCTCCTTCGTGGCCAATACCTCACAGAACAGTCCAAGAAGAATCGGCTCGAAAAAGCGAAAAAGTTGCTCGACGCACTCAAGGTGCGCCGCCTCTCTGAAGTCATTTGGACTGATGAGAAAATTTTTACGGTTGAGCCGCTTCCGAACCGACAGAATGCTCGGCAATTGTTGTCAAAGGACGAAGCAAAGTCCCCAAAACGTCGTCTGGCCTACAAGAGACTTTTTCCAAAGTCAGTGATGGTGTGGGCTGGATTGACGTCGGAAGGTAAAGTCCCATTGGTTTTCATTGATAGAAATGTGAAAATCAACTCGGATGTGTACCAAAAGTTGGTGTTGATGGATGTTTTACGTCCGTGGGTCACTAGCCACTTTGGCCAGCAACCCTTCATTCTTCAACAAGATTGGGCCCCGTCCCATGGCTCGAAATCCACGAAAGCTGTTCTCGACGCTCATTTCCCTGGCTACTGGGGCAAGGACATGTGGCCCGCTTCCTCGCCCGATCTGAATCCACTCGACTTTTCCGTTTGGGGATATTTGGAGGAAAAGGTGATGGCTCGATCGCACCCAAATGTGGATTCACTGAAGGCCGCTTTGCTCAAAGCATGGGATGATCTTGACGATGACTACCTCCGGCGCACCGTCGCTTCTGTTCCAGCTCGTTTGAAGGCGTGCATCAAGGCCGAAGGCTCAAACTTCGAATATCTCCTCTGATATCTTTTCTATTACTATCATTTGTTGAAAAAATAAATCTGGTTCTTTTGTTGAAACTCCATTTTTGAAAATACAACAAAAAACAAGTGTCTCAATACTTTTCAGCCACCCTGTAGAATGGAAACGGGGAGTTGAAGCAGCACAACCGGAATTAAGGTTTGTGTTACCAGGGAATAGTATAATTGAGTTTGAAGTGATTTGTTTTTGTCTGATAAGAGCTGATTGTCGACGGTGTACTTTCGGATTTCTTTGAATAACAATACACCAAAATAGATGACAGTGAAAAATGAAGAGTTCTGGAAAAAAAATGATGTGAGGCGATGGCATAGGACTAGACTCACAATTATGACCATATCTACCAAAAGTCCGATTGCTGCTGGCCAATACATCTCACCACTTTCAGTAAATAAATACGGACCGATGTATACAATATTATTCAGTTTCAGATCCAAACTCTCGAGAAGATACGTTTCAATTAACCGGTTTGTAACATCTCTAGGTCCACAGAACAGTACAGCGATAGATCCCCAAATCACTCCATAAATTATTGGAATTGAGAACCAACAAAGGATTTTCCAGGAGCGGAATGTCTTTAGCATTTTATTCCCCTTGATAACAAGATAACGATAGATAAAGTGAATTCCAAAAAGTGCCATACAACTTCCATATAGGCCGCAATAGGCGCCAGAAAGAATCAATTGGATTTGTGGATCGAAGAACGCGGATTCAAGGCGAGTGATGATGAGAAAAGTGAAACCGGTATGGTGGAAAATCTAAAAGATATTAAAAAATACAGAGAATTGATTCTTACCGGTAAAACTAAAAAATCCATAGCTGCATAAATCACTTCCAGGATCGAAATGTAAATCATCAAATATTTATATGGACCCAATTCTTTAGGAGATTTATTGATGATCAGATAAATCAAGCAAACGTTCAGAAATAAGGCGATGCTGGCACATGACTTTTGTACCGCAACTTGGATGGTTTCAGTTATTGAGAACATGGTTAATGAAAATTTTTCAGAAAAAACTTGAAAATAAAGTGAATTTTGCTGAGAACCAAAATATCAACTGATTAACAGGAACGATGCGATTCCCTCCGGACGTTTCTGTCTGACGAGGGCACATGTCTGAAACCTTGTCTATAATTTTCAGATTGTTCAAAGATCTAAAAGTTCAAAGGATTATTTATCAAAAGTGCGGGATTTTCAATTCCTAATCAGTTTTAGTTTTCCTAACGCTAAATTTAGCTCGAATAAAAATCTTGAAAAGTAAGTAGAATGCTAATGCAGAAGATGAAGCCAAAAACAAAACAACGTCTAAATAGTAATGAGCAATTAGTCCGACTTGATTGATTTCTGGAACTTGAGATCGAAGATTTGGGAATCTGAAAACATGTATTCTAAATGTTCTAGAAACATTACAACTTACTGAATGGCAAACTCTAGATGCTTCATAAGATTCACTTTTGGATCAATAGGGTGATTTGAAAGAATTTTCAGAAGCTCTTGGGCTTTTTCTTGATACTTTGGATTTGTAAACATTTCTTTTATAGTTCTTGTTAATTTTTCTCCATCTTGTAGATCAAATTTGGGACACCGCTCCTCCATGCCTCGCCAGCATCCTTGCAATTTGATATCGATCTCCGAAAATTGGAACCATCAGAGCAGGTTTTCCAGTGTATGCGATTTCCATTGTACTTCCTAATCCTCCATGAGTCACGAATACTTTCATGCGCTTGTCGGATAGAAGTGCAGGCTGAGGGATCCATTTTTTGAAATGGACATTTTTGGGAAGCCTCTTTTCGAATTCAGCGTCACCCTTTTCATATTTCCAGATAAATGTGACATCTGGAAGTGATTCGAACATTTTGATCAATCCTGCTTTGAAGTTTTCAGGCATTTCAAAGGATCTAACAAGAGAGCCGGATGAGACCAAAACTGTGGATTCTCGTTCTTGCAAGATCTTCTCGTATTCTTCTGGTAATGGCCCCACATTTTCAGTTTTTCAAATCCATTGTAATTCCTCCAACATGAACAACAGTTGCTGTGGTGGGAACGGCAAAATCAAGGTAGGGATTGGTGATTAAAATTGGCGATTGTTTTACAAGATCCTTCCATGATGGAACAGGTCTCCCGAGAACGTTTTGGAATAGATCATTTTGATTTTCAAAAACTCTTGTGAATCCCAAGGTGTCAAAAAACTTTTGGTAGACGTCATTCAGGCGATCCAGAAATCCAGCATCCGGCGCACCTTTTGAACCATCTCGTGTAATTTATCCAAGGGCGGATGGTTGACCAAATAGTTATTTATCAATTCAAAACGAACTGTTGATAATATGGGTATGCATGGAAGTGCAAGAAAATGAGTGAGATCTGAAAAAGCGAAAAAATAGCTTTATTCGAATTTTAAACACGACTCACAAAATGGAGCAGCTCCAAATGTCTCAGCAATCGCCACATCGAATTTTCTGCTCTTTAATTCTGCATGCAAATTTGTATCCAAGTAGAGCTGCGTATCAGTTTTTTCGAACTTTTCCATGAACATTTTCGACATCGTAAAAGAAGAGAGAACTGGATTATTGAAAAGATGCGAGTCCCACAACACTGAAAAGTTATCAGCTTCCGATTTCAATAATTCTTCATAATGATCCAGATAGTAGTTGATAATCTCGATATTCTTGCTTTTAACCAACCCGTCAAGGTTTTTCATAGCAATATGGAATGGTTGGAATAATGTCTGAAATGGGACAAACTTTTTAAAGAAATTCCTCAAGAATTTCAGTTATTATATGAGCTCAAACTCACCACATTGTGTCCATGGTCGGCTATAACATCAGCCATTTTACTTATAAACTTGACATGACTGTACCCCAAAATCGGGTTGATAATCAAAATATTTTTAGTGTGAACAACTCCGAATAAGAAAAACGTTAATGTAAGTAGACTATGCATTAGGGCGGAATACACAACTGGATGAGGAATTTATTGGTCTTTTTATACAGGGTGGCCGATAATGATAGGACGTTTCTAACCGTCTCCCATTTTTCAGAAAAACGTTTTTTTAACTGTAATAACTTTTCCAAAAAATTCAAAATATATAAGAATTTTCGTTTTATGACAAGTAATCATGATTAGAATCACGAGCTTTGACGGAAGCATCCAAACGAATCATAAAAAAATGTGGCTGTGCGGCGGCTGTAGTTGACGTCGATATCGCCCCAGAACTTTTGAAATGGACTTCACAGAAAGTCCAAAAAACTATAGGAGATTCCTGAGATTTTGCTCTCCAAAAGTCTCTATACATTGAAGTCCATCGGATTGAAATCCGTGAAGTTAGAGGACCTTCAATCGTCGCCAAGTTTTCTAGGAAAATGAGCGTCAAAGACCGCAATTGTGGATTACGATCCACAAGACGGTGCTGAGTCTTACGGATGGTATTAAAGATGTCCAACAAACTTCTGAGTGGTTCAGGGCAACAAGTTATGCATCAAAACTGTCATTTGGTAGACCTGTGAGCCGATTTTTACCAAAAATCAAAAAATTGGTACTGGTTGCCGTGATTTTATCCCAAACCTTGACATTTTTACGGAAAAGGCAATTTGAATATAAAATACGTTCAGGAGAATTGTTATCATCTTTTGGTAACAAAAATGTGTTTTGACCTTGGTATTGCAAGGTCCAGGGTTCAAAAATCGTCAAATAGGATTTAAACATTTGTAGTTACCGTGTCTACCATAAACTGTTCCTTTCTTATACATTATTGTTCCTGATCCCGACGGTTTGGAAGAGTTTCATCTGTGAAACCCTTAACGTCACCCCAGATCTCGTCTGACAACGCCGCAGGTGTGGTGTGAAAAAAGTTTTTTGCATTTTTCGCGTCTGCAGGCCCCGGATGTATAAGAAAGGAACAGTTTATGGTAGACACGGTAACTACAAATGTTTAAATCCTATTTGACGATTTTTGAACCTTGGACGTTGCAATACCAAGGTCAAAACACATTTTTTCGCCGAATTTGAAGTTTGATGATCCCCCGAGTCTGGTGAATGTTCAAAGTCAATGGTGGTCTTCATTTTGGCTTTAATAGGTTCCTTTGATCCTTTTGAATATTTTCAAAAACATTTCAGACACTTTATGAGGAAATTCCAAGTCTTCTGGCCACATACGCCAACACGTGCACTCCCTCTCGAGTAAATTCGCGATGTGGGTTGGTGTGGAGAAGTCTTCATAAATCCGAACAAAAAACAAAATGATACGAAATGGTATAAATCATTGCCTATAGAGGGTCCCTACTTTCTATTAGTTTTTAAAGTTTTCATAATTTTTCCTTGGCGCCTGGCCAAGGAGCCCTCAAAAAAACGTCCTATCATTATCGGCCACCCTGTACACCGACAATTAATGTACGGTTTGTGTCAAATGTACAGATAGAAGATTTTCAAATTCTTGTAGTATGTAGCCTAGTGATAAAATGGAAAAGGATACATTTCTGCTTTTGATATAATTTTTATTGAAAGACATCAGTTGAAGAACAAACGAGAAGGAAAGATGAAAATGCATATTTGCAACCGGGCCTTGAGATAGTTTCTTTTAGAATGAATATTTTTAGACCAACTAAATTAGATATGATAGAACTTAACGACTACTTTAAAATGATACTATTTGGAAAACTGTGTCTTGTCTATGAACAAAGTTACAGATCATAAAGTGGCCGGGCCTTGTCGCGAAGGCCCGGCCGTGTCTCCGTTTTTTGTCTGTAACTTTTTTCATAGACAAGGCATAATTCTCAAAATAATATCATTTTGAAGTACTCGTTGAGTTCTATCATATCTAATCTAGTTGGTCTAAAATTATTCATTCTCAAAGAAACTATGGCCGATCCCGCAAAGGCCCGACAAAGGCCCGGTTGCAAGTACGTGAAAACGGGTTGTATAAATTATAGGCTTTATATTACTGTAGTTAGTATGTGATAACGGAACATTGAACTTCTATTTCCCATTCTTAATTTATGGCTACACTTGACACAACCTTGAAAGTTTAGTCGTTGATTCCCAATACAAATTGAGAAAAGGGAAAGAGGTTAATCGATTGGAACGTGTTCTCCTTCAGGTGAAAAGTGAATAAAAACAAAAATAAATCCAGAAAATACAATTGTAAATTTTATAATATAATCGATGCTTCTGTTTTTTTTTCGAAATCGAAAATTCCTGCATTCTCACATAATTTTCTCGTTGATCAGAGACCAATTTTTCTTTATTTTGAAATTCTGCGAATATAAAGAATGTCTTAAAATGCTCAGAGAGTCTCGCTGCTGGTTCAATTAGAATTCAATTTGTCCCATAGAATTGAAAATTTTATGTTGACGAGATAGCAAAAATTACGGGGCAAATCTTTAATGTATTCTAGATTCCTCTGCTTCGCTTTTTCGTATTATAGCTTTAGGCAGCTCCCACAAGATGGATAACTTCACCTACCAACCGATACATAGTTACCCAATCCAATATTCCAACTTCCAATACCGTCTGAATTGTATAATGATTATACCAATTTTCATGGCTTTCTACAGTATTCCTTGCTTATTTTTTCTATTCAAAATCACATTTTTCTACTTCTCCCGCAATAAAGCTATCAAAGAAGCTTCCCTGGATTTGGAGCTTTTTCAACTATTTCTATTCATGCAGTTTTCTAATTTCATTCTAATTTTTGCGGATTTTCTAATTTTTCGAATTCCATTTACAGGAATTTTCACAAATTTTTGTATTCTTTGGAACCCACAATTCTTCATGGAAAGCTTCGTGTTTTTGTTCTATTTTGGATTTTATACATCTCAAATGTTTACACCTTTGTTTTGCGGAGCGCGAGTAGCAATTATGTATAATTTGAGCAAACGGAAACTGAGAAAAGCAAGTTTATTGAGTAGGAAAATCTTTGAATATTGGCATTTCAGATTGTAAAAATAACATCATGTGCAATTATGTTTTCCGGATTTCTTCTGGCTCTACCTCACTTTTTAGCTCGAGGAGAGTGCATTCAAGTGGATAAACCTCTTCCGTTTGGTTCAATTTTTATCACTTCAAGCATTCATTTTAATCATTTTGTGAGTAATTTTATTAAATTTTAACTTTGAGCCTATTTATCTCGGTTCCTGTAAAAGATATCAAAAAGTGGTCAACTGATAAACATTTTATCATAATATCACCAAAATTTTATCAATTAACACAATTTTGAAATCTTTCAGAGGAACCGAGATACATTGTCTCAAAGTTACAGTAAGATAACGGTAAGTTAGTAAGATTTAAAACCCCACTTTCAGCAAAAAATCGGATTCGGCAACTTTGTTCTAAACGTTTTTATTACGGCATCAATAATTTTTCTAAACTGCCTAATGGTCCAAAAAATCAGACAAAGGAAATTAATGTCAGTTTTGAAAGTTTTTACAAAAAAAACAATTTAAAAAAATTACAGAAATGTCCGAAGTTCGAACCTGAAAATTGAGCGAACTCTAACAGGGACTATGATTATTTTACTGTTCCCTCTCATCATGAATCTTTTGGTAGCGGTAAGTTTATAAAATTTTTTTCTAACATATGCCGTAAAACCTATTAGAAGAGCACCCAAACTGTCAAGTTTGAGCTCAATTATCTCAATTCCTATGGAAGTTCCTATTGATATTCCTATTGATATATGTTTTATCAGCTCATAACTTTAATCTATCTTTGACATGAACCGAGGAAAATTAGCTCAAAGATGCCCTTCTATTACAGGTTTTACGGTATGGTTAATTTCCAGCTCGGCGAGCTCTTCGAAGTCACATTTTTCTCGTATCTCCTCCTGCTCCGGTCTATCTTCTTGGATGCTCGATTACATATTGTTTCCTGTTATTTTTATTTCACTCATCCAGTTTTTAAAAAACAGAATGTTGAATTGCGGATGTTGTGAAGTTTGCGCAGAACAAATTGGAATTTATTGTTGATTAAAAACTCTAACAGGATAACAGAGTGCCACCCATGCTGTTAACTTCGAGCTTATGTATCTCATTTTCAGTGAAAGACATCAAAAAGTGATCAACTGGTAAAATGTTTATCATAACAGCAGAAACATTTTATCAGTTAATCATTAATTGATATCTTTCACAGGAAATGAGATATGTGGGATCAAAGTTAAAGTTTTAAGTGGCCTTCTTTTCTAGTTCTGTCCAGTGGTTGAAACGCGAGAAACATTCTTGGAATTGAATTTAATAAACATAATTGAACTCAAAAACTTATTCCTCAAAGTTGGCACAAAGTAAATCAAAGCCAGAGGGTTCAGTGCTGGAAATGTGGACACAGCGATCCCAGCAGCAAATTGAAGCCATCTAGATTTTTCAAACTAAGTTCAAATTGATTTTTTTGACTTACCGCCCGAAGTCCAGCGCAAAAATTGGCTGGTACCATGAAATGATACATGGTGCGAAGCTGACACAAGTCGGGATTGCAGCTTGTACTATTAGCGCCTTGACCAGTTGAGTTTGGAGCTCTTCTGACTCATGTCAGCACTTTGTTTACTCAGCTTGTACCAAATTTTGTAGCCAAAATAAAAGATGAGAGCCAACGAGACGAAAGAGAGAATCGACAAGAACAAAATTCCAAATCATGACTTGAACATTGCATCGTCAGTTCCTTCCTGTATGAATCTTTGTGAAAAACGGTCAATTATTTGTTCTCCTTACAAAGTACTGCACTATGATTATAGACATATTCAAGACATCTTGTCCATGATGCTCAAACATTGATTCCCGAATATATAGACGCCTGGAATAGTCCCCACCACAGTACTAATAACAGAAAAATGTCCAGTAGATAAGATGTAAAATGCAATAGAATACAGCGGTAAGGAGACCATAGGGCATAAAGTATCTTGTGTTGACAAAAATCCGGGTTCCCCGCAGATAATTGTCAACCTGAAAGCAGAGTAACTCAGGGTCTACCGATTTTCATCGCAAAATCCCCCTGAATTACTTGCTTTGATTATTCAGTCACTATTTTCCCTTATTTCCGATATTATTCTGTGAAATTATTCTTTCTCGCATTCATTCAATGCGAATATTCATATTTGAACTACCACTACTTTTACCCTTTTAAAGGCTCACCCGCGTGGCGAGACCCGCGACGCCAGCCGACAGGCGCCGCGCACTCTCCGCGCGCGCAGTCGTCTCTTGCGTCCGGGCACCGCTGTTCCGCCGGTAGCTCCAAGGACTTTTTAAACAATTTTACTTCCAGGTTTTCCCCCTTTTTGTACGTTTGGCTATCAGAGGTTTGACCAGCTCCAGTTTCGTGGGTCCGCAAGGTTTCCTGGCGGCTCCGCCGTCAGGTTTTAGCCCTACACCATTATTCCCCCCTTTTTCTGTTCTTGCTGGTATTTCCCCTTTGATTGTCTTTACCGTTTGTCTTGGCCCCATCCTTTTCTCTCTAATAAATGGGTCAATGATACTTTGTGTACTGTTTTGTATTTGCACCGCTTATCTCATACACACTTTCAGGTTTTTAGGGCGCGCTACAGGCGCGCGAGCACTCTCGGGTTAGGACATAGGATCGGTCTCGACTGACTGAGGATCCGCTGTCAACATCTTGTTAGAAATTGATTATTGAATAATACAAAATATCGATATAAGAAGTACTCTCCAACTGCGTACTCTCCAGAGATGAAACTACAGCGGAAGGCAATGAGGATTTGATTGAATTCCGAGTGCTGAAACGTTTAAATGTTTATAAAAGGAAACATCGTTCACCTACCTGCGAGAACAATCCATCAGAAATGAACACTGAAAACGCATGACGATAAATCAGTACACACTATAAAATCTGTTATCATATTATCATAAAACATGCCTTGATTGACGTTACCATGGAAACCAACATATCCATTAGAGAAGTGGCCATATTGAAAATTGCGAAATAGAGTAAAAGATAACGATAGTTTCCCAGTTGAAGTTTTTTATCGGTCCAAACGATGTACATGCATTTATACTTGGAAATATTGTATTTTTTGTTTTTGCTGACTCAGTTATTTTCCGGGGAATACAAAAGTTTAAGAAATGACAAACTCTTTACGAGGAAATAAGTAACTTACATACGGGGGCGAAATTAGTTGAAAATCACTATCGGAACTCCGCATAAGAGCTATTTTTATAGTTTAACCCAAGGTAAGTTGAACTGAAAACAGCTTATGATTTAACACATGAATGGAATCTTCGCCTTCGTTTGGTACATGTCTTAACTTTGTCTACGGTTTTTTTTTTCAATCCAACTGTCACAAAGCTTGAACGATCATAAAATAATCAAAAGTGCGCATTTTTGATAACTTTCAAATTTATTACAGACTTTGTAAATATGTCGAAAAAAACTTAATACATATTATATCGAAACAATGTTTCTTGTTGAAGTCACGTTTCTTAGAAGATGAAGAAACGGGTGTCTCCCGTGTCAGCGTAGACGGCGTCAATTGGATTGACATCAATTCCTTGGGTTCCCTTTGGTTGATCTTCTGCAGCTCTGGCTGGACGCTTCTTCTCCTCCTCAGCTCCTTGGGTTCCCTTTGGCCGATCCTCAGCAGCTCTAGCTGGACGCTTCTTCTCCTCATCAGCTCCTTGGGTTCCCTTTGGCTGATCCTCAGCATTTCTAGCTGGACGCTTCTTCTCCTCATCAGCTCCTTGGGTTCCCTTTGGTTGATCCTCAGCAGCTCTAGCTGGACGCTTCTTCTCCTCATCAGCTCCTTGGGTTCCCTTTGGTTGATCCTCAGCATCTCTGGCTGGACGCTTCTTCTCCTCATCAGCTCCTTGGGTTCCCTTTGGCTGATCCTCAGCATCTCTAGCTGGACGCTTCTTCTCCTCATCAGCTCTTTGGGTTCCCTTTGGCTGATCCTCAGCAGCTCTGGCTGGACGCTTCTTCTCCTCATCAGCTCCTTGGGTTCCCTTTGGCTGATCCTCAGCATTTCTAGCTGGACGCTTCTCCTCCTCATCAGCTCCTTGGGTTCCCTTTGGTTGATTCTCTGCAGCTCTAGCTGGACGCTTCTTCTCCTCATCAGCTCCTTGGGTTCCCTTTGGTTGATCCTCAGCATCTCTGGCTGGACGCTTCTTCTCCTCATCAGCTCCTTGGTTTCCCTTGGCTTGATCCTCAGCAGCTCTAGCTGGACGCTTCTTCTCCTCATCAGCTCCTTGGGTTCCCTTGGGTTGATCCTCTGCAGCTCTGGCTGGACGCTTCTTCTCCTCATCAGCTCCTTGGGTTCCCTTGGCTTGATCCTCAGCAGCTCTAGCTGGACGCTTCTTCTCCTCATCAGCTCCTTGCGTTCCCTTGGGTTGATTCTCTGCAGCTCTGGCTGGACGCTTCTTCTCCTCATCAGCTCCTTGCGTTCCCTTGGGTTGATTCTCTGCAGCTCTGGCTGGACGCTTCTTCTCCTCATCAGCTCCTTGGGTTCCCTTTGGCTGATCCTCAGCAGCTCTACCTGGACGCTTCTTCTCCTCATCAGCTCCTTGCGTTCCCTTGGGTTGATTCTCTGCAGCTCTGGCTGGACGCTTCTTCTCCTCATCAGCTCCTTGCGTTCCCTTGGGTTGATTCTCTGCAGCTCTGGCTGGACGCTTCTTCTCCTCATCAGCTCCTTGGGTTCCCTTTGGCTGATCCTCAGCAGCTCTACCTGGACGCTTCTTCTCCTCATCAGCTCCTTGGGTTCCCTTTGGCTGATCCTCAGCAGCTCTACCTGGACGCTTCTTCTCCTCATCAGCTCCTTGCGTTCCCTTGGGTTGATTCTCTGCAGCTCTGGCTGGACGCTTCTTCTCCTCATCAGCACCTTGGGTTCCCTTGGGTTGATTCTCTGCAGCTCTGGCTGGACGCTTCTTCTCCTCATCAGCTCTTTGGGTTCCCTTTGGCTGATCCTCAGCAGCTCTGGCTGGACGCTTCTTCTCCTCATCAGCTCCTTGGGTTCCCTTTGGCTGATCCTCAGCATCTCTAGCTGGACGCTTCTTCTCCTCATCAGCTCCTTGGGTTCCCTTTGGCTGATCCTCAGCATCTCTAGCTGGACGCTTCTTCTCCTCATCAGCTCCTTGGGTTCCCTTTGGTTGATCCTCTGCAGCTCTGGCTGGACGCTTCTTCTCCTCCTCAGCTCCTTGATTCATTGTTGGCTTCTCATCTGTGTGTCTGGCTGGACGCAATGGAGCACTATCACTATGAAGTCCCAGATGAGAAGTCTTCGGATCAATTGGCATAGCATGAAAGTAAGCCACGAATGCGGCTAATAGAAGAATGTGGAACGATTTCATTTTCGAGTTGACAATGCTTTCTGTATTCAACCCTCCGGTTATATAGTTTCGGAAAAAGGCGGTAACCTCTAGTTGTTTACCATGTCGAAAGCAAAGGAAATGGATATCCGCAGAACATGGAAAAAGTATCACTCGTTATTCGTCGAATATTTTTTCACTTTCTGGAAGTTTAGGTGCAAATTTTCTACAAGAAACGTCTCACATGGCTTTTTGTTTTGTTCTGTTTTGTAACTCGCGGGCATACTACAGAGAATGTACATATTCGTTGAATGGAAATGGCCTTCCGAGATACGCCATTTCTTATCAGAATACAGAATCACGTCATTCATTTCGGAATAGGGTGAAGGAATCGAAAATCAGATGGAAGGAAAAGAGGAAGACATCAAATCAGAATATTTTTATTTTTCAGTTTAACTGTAGATCTAGCAGATTTTTTCACTTGTATCTGCTGCATATTTATTACCGTACTTGCTCTAGTAGAAGCTCAGCCTATACGTAGACTTTGAGATCAATTATCTCGGCTCCTACAAGAGATATCAAAAATGTGTAAACTGATAAAATGTTGATCATAATATCACTAATATTTTATCAGTGGACAGATTTTGCTTAAAGTGCAGCTTTTTTCTCCAGTGTATATATTTACTTAAGTCATTTGACTATTACCAGACAACCTATAATTAATAGAAAATTTTAGAAAATAAGATCACCTTGAGAGCAACAACTACCAGATCAAAAAATTACAAAAATAATATTTATTCATATGGAACAGAATTCAGAAAAAAAAACTTCACATGACGCCATTTGAGCATTTAACTGTAGGTTGTGCCTTCACCAATAGCTTCCCAATTTTCGTTTTTCTGAATTTCGAGCATTTCTTCTGTACAAACTTCTTGATAGCATCTCGATAACTGGAGATTATTAGAATCGTCGGAATCGGGTCGAGTGCGGGGAACAAAGCGATAGAAAACGAAACCAGTCCACTTAAATGGCCAGCATCCAACTCGAAAAACGAGAACATGAACATTGTGAGAGCCGGAATGTGCATGAGGAAAATTGGAATTATTGTTTGAGCAACGAGAGCGTAGAATAGTTGATTTTGAATGCTTTCCAAATGAGAAGACGTTGTAGTTAGTATGTTGCGCATTTTGTTCCAGCACTTGACCCCATAGAAAACCACGATGAACATGGAGAGATTCTAAAATATAGCTTACTCTATACGTGCACATTGAGCCCAATTATCTCGGTTCCTACTAAGGCTATCAAAAATATTTCAACTGATAAAATACTTTTGATAATGTGATAAAGAGTTTATCAGTTGACAACTTTTTGATATCTTGTACAGGAACCGAGAAAAGATGGCTCAAAGTCAACGGTCCCCGAGTTCTATTTTACAATGCTCATGGAGTCTAGACAAACTCCTACAAACGACGGCCAGTAGATCAAATCCTCTCCTACATCGTTCTTCTCATAAAAATACGGAGCAAAGTATACAATTTGGTCAATGTCCAGGCTCAGTTTCTCTTGTACACCGTATCTCAAATAATCGCTGGAACCTTTACGAGGATAACAAGGGAAATATCCGACCAACGCCCAAATCAAGCCAATTGAGAATGGGATGACGAGCCACCAAAAGATTTGCCGGCCTTTGAAATAGCTGAGATTTTGAGAGTTTCCGGTGATGACCCAGTAACGGTAGACATAGTGTAGACTGAATATGGCCATTGAGGATCCGAAGAATCCACAGTAGATCACTGAAAAAAACGTGTCTGAAGCATACCACAATTTTTGAACCAACTAAATTGAATGTAATAGAGTTGGACGAGTGCTAAAAACTGATTATACTTGAAATACTGTATATTGTCTATGAACAAAGTTACGAACCAAAAGCTGTCTGAGCCACACTGTCACAGTTTTATGACCTTGCAACTTTGTTCATAGACAAGGTACAGTATTCCAGATATCATATATTTGTAGTACTCGTCAAGTTATATCATATCTATTCTAGTTGATTTAAAAATATTGATCCGAAAGAAACTATGACAGGGCTCATGGAGGGTTTACAAGTATGATCTGAAGCATACTGTACACAGAGTTCTGTAAACTGACCTGCCATAATCTCCCAAAATTTCTTATCAATTTTTGAGTTCGTCGTATTCACAATGAGTGTAAAGGTCGCACGAAACGAATAGAAAATCTGAAAATCCAATTTTCTGAAATCTCTTTTCTACCTTCCTACCGGCTGCACAATCAAATCAAGCATCGCATAAACCACCTCAAACATCGAAATGAACAACATAAGATGCTTATAATCACCGATATCTTTTGGTGAGAAATGAGTAATAAGGTAGATCAAAAGAGAGTTTGAAATTGTTGCCAGAATAGCAGCGATTATTTGAAAAGCGTATTGACTATTCTCCCAATCGATCATTCTTTGAGAAATTAGGAGGAAATAGAGGGATAACTGAAGAATAATACTGAAAAATAAAACTAATACCAGGTAACGAGTCTCGCCAATCCTTTAGGGACTTGTACATACTTATAATTAAAGTCTTTCATAACTAAAACACATGACGACATGTCATCAGAAATCTAGAAGGTGACTCAGACGGTTCTGACGTGAGATGGGTGTGTGGATATTGCTCCTGGAGCTATGCATCTAGCGATCGCATTCAGAAAAAGTACCAGATACGACTGGATAGCATTTCGATAGCTCTTCACAATGATAAGTGTGGGAAGTGGATCGATTGCAGGGAACAAAGCGATTGTGACGGTTACTATTCCAGATAGTGGTCCTACATCAACCTCGAGAAAAGTTAAGATGAACATTGCAAATGCGGGAATGTGCATTAGGAATACTGGAATCAGAGTTTGGGTGACCAGGGAGTAGAAGAGTTGGGTTTGAAGAGATTTGTATTGTTGGGAAGAAGCCATGTCTTTGGATTTGCGAAGTGTGGAGTAGCATTTAAAACCAAAGTAGAATGCGGTGGCGATGGAGATGTTCTGAACTTTGGTCTTGGTTTTTTTAATATCCTACAAGCCTCTCTTGGAGCCGCTACCAGCTGAGCTACGGTGGCTCGTATATTTTTTCTCGTGTTTTCCTGAATAGAATTCCGACACCGCTGATTGTGAGTAGCAACGCAAGTTCAATTTGAAGCTCTCGCGTTAACATTAACGCTAGTTAAAGTATCTATCGAACAAAACACAGTGGAATCGAAAACCAATGATCAGGTGTACATATTTAAGCGTCTAGTATTTTCTATGAATTTCCACCCCACGGGATTCATAAATCTAACAAAAACAATACAGGCGGGGTACAGTACTTGAACTGCAGTACCTAAACTGTACCAGGAAACTAGTTACTTCCCAGTAATGTCACTTACAATCAAAATCGAGTCAATAACGATTGACAAGAACGACGGGAGATAGATCTCGACGGTTCCATTTTCACTTTTCTCGTAAAAGTAGGGAGCAATATACAGATTGTCTTCGACGGTAAGGTTGAACTCGTCTAGAAGGCTTTTTCTGAATCTTGAGATATTTGAATATATTTTTGTTCGGTACTGTACCTCAAATACTGATCACTTTTTGGTCTGGGAGCACATGGAAAATAGGCAGCAAGCCCCCAGATGGATCCACAGCATACTGGTATCATCAACCAAAGCAGAATTTTGAAACCACTGAAACTTTCAATCCATTCGTTCCCACTGACTACCCAGTAACGATATATGAATTGGATGCTGAATATGGCAAGCAGAGAGCCAAAGATTTCGCAGTAAATGGCTGGAAATCTGTATCTTTCAGGCTCGATTCTAGTAGAAAAACTTACAGATCAAAACTTTTAAAACTCCGTAGCCAAGATACGAATCAACAGCATTGACAACGATGACGAAAGTTGAGCCGTAGGAGTAGAAGATCAAAAGAAAAGTTGTGGAGTTATCAATAAAGCACGTTTCCCCACACTTACCGGTTGCACAATAATTTCCAGAATGGTGAAAACGATTTCAGTAGTTGCTGTATAGATAATCAGCAACTTATAGACGCCCAAATTGTTTGGTGACTTTTTCAGGACCAAATGAATTAACGAACCGTTCAGAATTAGTGCGAAAAGGGTACTAATGTGTTGGGTAATGTTCTGAAATGCCTGCCATTTGGAAGACATTTTAGGGTGCTTCTATGATTCGGAAGTTTGATGGCTTCCGGGCAGTGTTGTGTTTTTGTTTGGTGTTCATGTTCTCAGAATCGAGACGTTTTATTTCTGTTATAGGAAACCAGGAAACATCTTGTTATCGCTAGCGGTATGGTCTCGAAAACAGCAAATCTTCTGGGATTTAACTTTATTTGGTACAAAACGATCAGGACACGCTTGGCCTGGTTCAATTAATACACAGGGATAATTTGAATCAAATTTATCGGAAAAATCGTTGTAACATTGAGAAAATAGAGACATTATAATCAAAACATGCTTGAAGTACGGTAGTTTCCGCACTTGCGCCTTTAAGAAAAATTGAGTATAACATATGACGACATGACATCAGAAATGTGATGAGGGTGACTCAAACAGGTCCGAGATAAGATGGGTTTGTGGATGTGGCTCCTGGAGAGTGGCTCCATGAGATGCATCCAACGATTTTTCATAGAAAAAAGGTTAGATATTATTCTTGTGCAAAAAAAATTGGAGTTGTGGCCGAATTTTCACACAAGTTAGGCCACCGTATTTCAAGGAGAATTTTCGAAAACACAGCCGGCAAACGAGTGCTACCGTAACCCAACAATAAATATTATCCTTGTCAAAGAAAAAAAAGGTTGAGTCGAAGTGTATGCGATGTTTGTAAACAAATATCTGAAAGCGTAAACAACCTGAAACAGTTGAAACGAGTGCGACAGTAACCCGGCGGGGAAAATATTAAATTTACTCATTTTTTAGCTTTTCGCATACTGTCTATTCAATTAAACGTGGGCGCGCCGCAGGTTGC